AATCTGGAGGGCCGGCCGGGCTGGGGTTGGGCTCCGGGCGATGTCCTGAGCCCAGGGTCCCCGGGGTCCCCGCCCGCCCGCCACACCCTCCCTCCCCGCGTGGGGCGGCCGGCCGGGGCCTCTGCCGGTGGAGCCTGGCCCTCGGGACCCCGCGCCGGCCCGGGGACACGCCGCCTTCCGGCCGGGCCGTGGGGACACTCACCCGCTCGCGCAGCCGCCGCTCCGTCCTCTCCGGCCCGCTGGGCCGCTCACGCCGCCGGGGAGGCGCCGGCCCCGCGGCCCCGGCCCGGCCGCCCGCGCCCCGCGGCTCCGCGCGCCGCCGCCAGCTGGCCCCGCGCAAGCGGCCGGGCCCCCGCGGGCATGTCCCCGTCGCGGGCGGGGCGGGCGCACGTGCGGCCGGGTCTGCGCGCTCCGGGCGGCGGGCGGCTGGACAGCTCTAGGCGGCGCCCCGCTCCCCGCGCGCCCCAGCGGCCGCTGCTGCCGGGCCCGCCGCGCATTCCCCCGCTCGGCGGCGCTGCGCCTCCGTCAGGCCGCGCGGGGAGCGCCGGGCCCGGGAGGGCCGCCTCCGCCGGAAGGACCGGGCTGCGTGGGCGCCCGGCCGCGCTGCCCCGGCCCCGATCCCGGCCCCGATCCCGGCCCCGATCCCGCCGGGCGCTGCGCGAGGACCGGCAGCGAGCCGGGGAGTCGCTACGCGCACCGGGAGGGAACCGCAGCCTGCGGGAGCGGGCACCCCCCTGGCGAAAACAGTAACCACCATGATCCCGAGGCTCTGCGGACGAATCCAGGGGAACAGGCGGCCTGAGACTTAGAACTGGGGACGCTGCGGGGAGCTAGATGGAAGCCCCAACGAGAGCCGGCGCCACAGGCCAGACCCGACCCGCAGAACCGGCATCAAATGTGTTCTGGGCCCAAAACATGAACACGCTGCTGGGCCGGCAGAAGTACTGGGGCCGTACAGGCCCGAGGGGAGAGGGGGCTCGGAGCCCAGCCCCTGGAATCAGGAAGGAACTGGCAGAGGATCAGAAACAGCCTTCTCTTCAGGTTCCCTCCTGGTTGGACCCTCCAACTGGACAACAGAAAGACCTGGAAGGCACTGGGTGAAACGTAAAAGTAGACATGCGGCACGGAGGTTGAGCAAGGGTGGACTTGGTGGCCAAGAGCCGGAGTAATGGACTTGAACAGGACACACCTGACGCCGTGGCCCCTGACCTGTCACTGAGCATCACGCGTGAGGTGGAGGGATGGTAAGTGCAGGCCAGAGTTCCAGCCAAGACAAGTTCAGAGAGCAGGGAGGGCAGAACCACCAAAGAAGGCTCTTCATCCGCCTGGGTGACAGAATTGGGCCAGGAGAGCCGCTGTGACACCTCGGCCCCAAACTCCAGTGCGATGATGATCAGAGACAAGTGAAGGAGTCCCAGCAAATACTGAGCCCTCAGCTCCCTCCCACCACCTTGAGGGGCCCTAAGACCCGCGGAAGAGTTTCCTTGGGCCAGTTGGAACTGAGCAGCTGGACAAGTATCCCTGTAAGCCTGCAGTGACGGCTCTCTCACCGGCAGTGACCAGGGAAGACTCAAACCACTAAAAACCAGACCCCACAGTTCTCCAGGGCAAATAAATCCAGTTCTGTCACCAGAAGGTTCACTTCCACACTGTTTATTGAATGGCTGTTTGCAAAAATGAAGAGACGGTCCCTGATGTCGCAGAGCTTACAATGTCATGGCTCTGAGGTTCGACGAGATGTCGCCGCAACAATGCGACAAGCACTTGGCTTTGTCTGACCAGCAGCAGCACATGGAGCCAGGTCTTTCACACTATTCATCACTGTTACAGTGAAACGTGAATGCAACATCTGAAGTCTGCCGTCATAGCAACGACAGGGTACATGTCTAGCAAATGCAAACTTATGGCTTGATTCCTCGTATTTGAGGGGTCACTAAAACAAAAACACCAATCGGAAGGGAAAAGCACAGTAACAGGTGTCCTAGGAATACTAGTGTAGAGTAATGTATCAAACCGCCACAGAACTCCTGGAAGGGCAGGGAATTATTGCCTACAAAATCAGTGCAAAAAACGGCTGTATTATAACACAACCTGTCCCATCAGCCCCTGCCAATCCCATACGCATCTACAATGGCTCGTGACGGGTACACGTGGTTTACCTCTATGACTCAAGAGCTCTGGGTGTGCACTTATTTTTTAAAGCTTCTAAAAGACTTGCAAGCACACGTTGCATATTACAATTTGGAGAAAAGTGCTTTTGAGATACCTAAAAATGAAAATGGAAAGCTGGTCGGATATCACTACATATATTAGTGCAGTTTGGAATTCAAACAGCATTGAGCGAAGCACCTGCCTTCCCTGCGTTAGAAAGGGGAACACGCTCTGGTTGGCCACCGGACTCTTACAACAAACCTCATTCATTCACCTGACACGCAGGGGCAGCACTTCCTTCACAGTCCTGCCTCAGGCGTCACCTTGAGATGCCGACTGACGGACCAGTGATTAGGAGAACAGCCTGGGTTTATAGCAAATAACCCCCAAGTCACCAAAGATCAAAGTACCTTCTTTGATCTTACACAGGTTATCCAATTAAAAATTTTTTCCCCTTTATTGATGTTAGAGAGAGAGGGGAAGGGAGAGGGAGCTAGAAACATCGATGAGAGAGAACGACTGGCCGCCTCCTGCCTGCCCCCCACTGGGGATGGGCCCACAACCTGGGCACGTGCCCTGACCGGGAGTCGAACCGGCGACCTTCCGATACGTGGGTCAACGCTCAACCACTGAGCCACACCAGCCGGGCGGTTATCCAATTTATTAGTCCTTAAAAGAAGAAAGAAAAAAAAACCCTCACGCCTGAGGGAAGCTCGTTTCTTATGCAGGGGTGGAAGGGGCACCTTGGACCACCGAACAGAACGTCAGCCAACCCAAGGTAGCTTTGGAGTGAGTTGCTTAGGACACAACCTACTTTTCTATTTTAAAAAGTACCAAATGGCCCTGGCTGGTTTGGCTCAGCGGTTAGAGCGTCGGCCTGCGGTCCGGAGAGACCCGGGTTCGGTTCCCGCTAAGGGCACGTACCTCGGTTGCAGTTTGTCCCCAGCCCTGGTTGGGTCATGTGGGTGGCGACCACTTCATGTGTCCCTTAATGTCGATGTTTCTATCTCTCTCTCTCCCTCCCACTCTATCTGAACAAAAAATGGAAAAATGTCCTCAGGTGAGGATTAAAAAAAAAAAAAAAAAGGCACTAGCCCCGCGTGGAACGGTCACTTGGGCTCTTTCCTAACAGAGCTCAGCCCCAGGGACAGAGGCAGCTGCCCTCCCAGGGACAGTGGCTGCTTTCTGAGACCGACACCTGGCCTGCTGTCGCGTGGAGTGGTTAGGCCGAGTGTTCATTAGGTGAAGTATCACCAAGGGGAAAGATGGCAGATTCTCCTCAGTTTCCTTCTAAACAGCCTCAAAGAAACAAATAAAATTTTTTTAAAGAAATGCAACTAAGCCTTCCAATCTATTACACACTTCAGAAATCGAAGCATACGTTTTCTGAGAGGCGCAAAGACGTTTTCATGGGGCCTGGTACCTTCTCGGAATAACGAGCCAGGCTGCACAGGTAAGTCCTGGACGAGATAGAACGACAGCCTTCTGAAACAGCATCTCTTCCTTCTGAAGAACATGGTAAGCTGTGCAACAAAAAGGAAGGAGCGGTGCAGTAGCCCGCCGATTTCTGAGCTAGTGTTTCATGTGAGGACAGAGACACATTCAAGGGAATGTTCCCAGGAAAGTCAGTCCCTTGTTAGGCCTTGAAACAAGCCACTCTGGAGCTTGGTTCGAGTGACCCTTTTCTGTACTGTAACTAGATGGGAAGGGGAGGAAGAGGAGGGAGACTAGGAGCCCTGGCTGATGTTGCTCAGTTGGTCAGAGCGTGGTCCTGGGCAGCAGGAGGTTGGGGCTTCCATCCCTGGTCAAGGTGTGTACAGGAGGCAGTGGGTTGATGTTTCTCTCTCTCATCCTTCCCCCTCTCTCTAAAATCAAACACTACTCCCAAATGAGGAAAAAAAATAAAGACTAGGGGAAAAAATACCCAAAATAAAGGCACTTGATTCTGTTGCTGAGTAATTCCGAGCAGCCAGCGCCCTCGCTGGCCCGGGAGCGGGCGCCCCCGAAGGCGCCGTTCGGCCGGGGCAGGGACAGCTGGCCTGGCACGTCACGTGTAAGAGCCACGCGAGAAGCAGAAAGCTCGGCACAAAGCAAACTCTACAACCTGAGCGTCTCCAGGGGACTCAGCTGTGAAAGCCGGGAATGAGTGTTCATCTCCACGCACGAGCTTGAGTACGTGGCGCTGACCGGCCACCGACAAGTGGGCTGTCGAGCAGCCTGGACTTGACCGGCCGTCAGCACACACACCCGCTAGAGCTCCTGATCAGAGCCCGGCCCGAGAGCTGGGAGCGCAGCGACACACGGCGGAGTGGGCTGCTCTGATCCCAACCTAGCGTCCTCGCAGCGTCCACGAGCCCTTTTCCTTTTCCTTCCTGTCCGGGGCGGGGTGGGGTCGAATGTCTGCAGGATGACTGCAGCTGAAGCCCGGACAGGGAGGAAACCTGGGCTCCTTTGACAGCCGCACTGGGTGGTGGCTTCATCTGTCAACTGCTGGTCAAGGGCGGGACACGGTACATTCAGGATGATGGGCAGAAAGCTGCAGCTGTCCGAGCTTTCACTCTGAGAAGTCCTCTAGGTAGCAAAATTAGAAGGTTACATGTCTTCTTTCCTTACAAATAATGAAGCTTCAGGGAAACAAATGAGTGAGTTATTCAGGCGGTTTTCTGAGCTGCCCAGTACCCACCACTCCCACACCACTGTCACTGCCGACCGAGCAGCCCAAGACACAGCGTCGGGCAGGTCGCGTCATCGCCTTTAAACACAAAACAACTAAAATCCAAGGTATGTCGTAACGTTTTTTGCATCCAGCATATATTAGCCTAGCATTATGAAAACTGTTCTGAAGCATTTATTTTTTAAAAGAATCATATTCACGCTGTGGAAGATTTATACAACTGGTGCGCCAAGGTAACTAGAAGGATGAGCACTATTTGCTTAGGACAAGCTGCTTCCCGGTCACACTTCCTTATTCTTGATATAAACTGGAGACATATACTATTTAAAAATAATACTTTTTAAATAGTAAAATATACAAGAGATTCCTGAGCGTAACAAAAATATCTTGAAAATATGTGGCCATCTGAAGTATAAAACAGCACGTGTCGAGAATAGCATGATTGCAAACGTCCGGCGTGCAGCCCCACGACAGTATAAAACGGTCTGCCTCCTCCGAGCGCAGTTACACGTCGGCGCGAAGTGTCTCAGTTGAATGCGACAGCCTCAGAGGTTGGCAGAGGTGCGCAGCACGTGGAACTTCTTCAGCGTCATGCGCACGGAGCCCAGCTCTCGGTTGACCCTTTCCAGACGGTCCTCCAAGGCTTCCTGGGGCAAACGACAGGGAGAGCTGGATGAGAGCCCACGTCCAGTGCACAGGTTCCTAATCACCACCAAACTGGCCTTTCTTTCAGCGAAAGCACACTATCAACATGCAAATCGACTGATGTTGTGTGACAAACTGCAGACGTGTGAGCGCAGCGCCTTGGCGGCGCCGAGAACCGCAGGCCGGGAGGCGCTCGGACCTCCCGCAGCATTAAGACACCGGCAGAGCCAGCCCCCTGCGCACACACAGGACAACCTGCTTCCGACAGAAACGTCGAAGTTAAAAAGGAAAAACAACACCCGGGGGAGACTGTTCAAAGGAACAGAGATTTCACAATCAATCAATGTCAACAACTGTGACTTTTATTATTTATTTATTTATTTATTTTCACCTGAGGATATTTTTACATTTATCTTCAGACAGAGTGAGAGGAAGAGAGGAAGAAACATCGATGTGAGAGAGACACATCAATCGGTTGCCACCTGCACAACCCCAACCAGGGCCAGAGACAAACCGCAAAGGAGGTACGTGCCTTTGGCTGGAAACGAACCTGGGACTCTTTGGTCCACAGGCCGACGCTCTAACCGCTGAGCATACCGGCCAGGGCAACAACTGTGACTTTTAAATAACTGGAATATATATTTATCTTTTTAGATACTTTATTCAGTATTAACTCCAATGGCATACTGAAATAAAACTGTAAAATGTTCTCTTTCACAACTTTAATTATAAAAGGACTACATATTCCTTTATAGAATATTTAGCAGACAGATGAGCAAAAAGAAAGAACTACTGTTCCTCTTTCCTGTTTTTTCTGCAGAAATGTTCACCATTTTTAAGAAAAATTAAAACAGAATCAAACTCTACTTCAAAATGTTTTTCAACTGAACTTGTCTTATTATGAAATATCTTTCCACAACACTGTTTTAAATTAAGTGCAACATTTCACCAGATGAACCATACTTAGCCGATAATCCTAGTAAAAATTTAGGTGGCTTCTAATTTTAGGTGCCACAGATGAGGCTGCAACAAATGCTCAGACACATCTCCGTGCAGTGTCTTCAGCGCTGCCTTAGGGTCACCCCCAGAAGCGAAACGCCAGGTCCGAAGGAAGCAAACTTCTCATCTTGGGGAGAGGTCAAGCTGTCCAGAGAACCTGCGACAATTTCTGCTTCCACCTGCAGGGTGTGTGAATACCTTTCCCCTACCCAGGTACTGTTTTCTAAAGACTACCTACCAATGCTGCCCTGGCGGGTTTGGCTCAGTGGTTGGAGTGTCGGCCCGCGGACCCTAGAGCAGCAGGTACAATTCCGGTCAAGGGCATGTACCTCGGTTGTGGTTCAGTCCCTGGCCCTGGTTGGGGTTGTGCAGGACGCAACGAACTGATGTGTCTCACCCATGTTTCTCCCTCTCCCTCTCCCTCCCCCTCCCTCCCGCTCTATCTGAAGATAAATGGGGAAATATCCTTCGGTGAGAATTTAAAAGAAAAAAAAAACCCAATGCTGATGCTTTTGTTTAAATGTGTATTATTTTTTATTCATTGCTGAGGCCATTTTTTATCCTTTTTTTTTTCCCCAATTTAACTTTCTCACTAAGGATCACATGTAAGTGTCCTCAGCCCCTTCTGCTCCACGTTCTCCTTTCTGAACGGAGAGCTGTGCACCAGGTGGGCAGAGCCGGCTGACGCGCTCCCTGTGGGACATGCGGTAACAGCCAAGGACACAGACAGAAGCTGCCGCGTGCACCGCTGTGAACCTACTTTTGCCCGCCCGTGTATGGAGAGAAACCAGTGCCCTTCAAGTCTTATTTTAAGAGCTTACGATCATTCTATAAAAATATATGAAGCAAATGTTTCAGACAGATTTAGGATCAGAGCATCAACATTCCTCCTTCTGCCTTCCCAGGCAACTACTTTAAGAAGAGTTTCGTGTGTTGAATCTTACAAATTACTAATTAAAAACTTTTAAAACAGCAAAAACAACAAAAAGACTTAAAGTCAGAAAAAAGAGCAGCCAGGACCCGGGGCCCAGGAGCAAGGCCCGCTGTCGTGTGCGACGGCCCCGGCCTGGAAGCCCCTTCCCGAGCACAGGCACCGAGGTGCCCACACAGACAGGCGTGTCAGAGGCGTGACGCTGCTGTTAGGGTTACATGTCACAGAAAGAACAGAAGGTGCATGTCCTTGGCTTCCTGCATTTCAACCCTCTGAAAAGCATCGGAAAGGGCGGCACACGGCCCGTCGCCAGCACCACCTGCCGCCCCGCTCTGGGGTCACAGCCCTCCCTCCGCAGCTGGGCCATTTGCTCCGGGTCTGTCTCTCAAAACACGATGGTGCGGACACGTCTTCCTTCGCCTGTAAAGGCAGAGCCCGCCTCTAAGGCTGAAAGCTAGCCCGCGGTTGTGAAACAGGCTGCAGCCACCCGCGCCTCCCGCGAGGCTGAGCGTTCTGCCGCTGCAGCAGCGTGCCTGGGAAGCGCGACTTGACGTCCCCTGGGGTCACGGGGCCCTGACTAGCGCAGCCGCCGAAACGGAGTCAGCTGAGACAGTTCACCTGATTCAGCCTCGTCTGCAAAGCGACTCGTCCTCCAGCAGAAGGCATCCGGCTGAGGGCCGCCTCAATCTGTCAACACAAGAAAGGCCCAATGAACACAGGAGAGCCCTCGCTGCGGCAGGAGCTCGGTGACCGGAGGAAAGCGGAGACCAGCCTCGAGCGTTCCTGTCCACCTCGTCTTCACCAAGCCCCGCGGCCAGTTAGTGACACCGGCTCAGCTCACATGCGTGCAGCTTCGGTGTGAAATTCACAGCAACGTCCTGGGTGGGTCTGACTCACCAACTCCCTCCTGGCTATTCCTTAGACACAAGTGTGAAGTGCAGGAAAAGATTTTTTGAAATTTTTTTTGTTGTTTTTACCTGGTCCTTTTCTTTTGTAAGTTCGTCAAAAAACCGCTCAGTTTCGGCCAGGGTCCTGATGCTCGATGTGTACTGGAAGTCCTGCGTGGGCGTGGGCGTGGGCGTGGGCTCACACTGCTGGCCGCCAGGCTCGCCCGTCCCCCAGGCCGGCCTCCCGTACGCCGCCTTCACCCCACTTGGCAACAGTTCGGGGGACGAGTTAGGATTTACATGGGTGTCGGTGGCTTTTTCAGAATATTTTTTTTCTAGCAGAGAGAAAAGAAATTTCTTTTATTTCTTATCAAGTTTCTGAATAGCTCGTACACATACTAAATAAGTTAGCTAAGTTCACTCTCTGGAAATAGCTGCTACAGAACCAAATGTGTAATGAAGAGCGACAGTAATCAATCCTGGTTACTCAGCGCTTCTCCGCTCCGCGTTCCAAGAGCTTTGCTCTCGGTGGGACAATCTTCCCCGAACGAGCGGATGGAGACTTTCTGTAAGCTGAAATGAACTTTCAGTAAAATTAAGGCAAAAAGCAGTTTAAAAACTAAACAGCACATTTGTACCAACACTAAAGAGTTAACATCTTAGGGGCTACCCACGGGACTTCGCCTACATTTTAACTTCATTCCAAACTTAAAATATAAATGAGAAAATAGAAAAAATTGCCCAAAGCCTAAGCGGCATAAAAATCAGGAACAGAAAACAGAGAGGCAAACAGAACAGTACGGCCCTACAGTCACACATCAACACTCCCTGTACCTCAGTTTCCCCACTTTTCAGAGGGCAACAACGTCGCCACGAGGTGAGCACCCTGAATGCCTGTTTTCAGAGGCCCTTGGGCACAAATACTGAGGTACAAGGTAATGCACCATGTAGGACCTTGAGAAGGTAGCAGAAACTCACAAAATGAATGACTAAAACCAAAACTAGTAATTTTTAGGAAAAGATACCTTCGGAGTCATCTAGAGGAAGAAACTGGAGTTTTCTTGGATTGGCACGTTGTGATGTCGACACAGGAACAGTATCTAAATCATCCAAAAGTATATCAAATCTATTGAATGAAGCAAGTTACTTGTGAGAAAAACTGTCACTGATTTTTTCTGTCGCCGCTAGAAAGACGAGCTGGCCTCCAGATAACTCACACACTGACATCTCTTTTAGAAAGAAAGCTGGTCATATGATTTTCTAAAACTGAAATTTAGTTTATGTTTTCTAATACAAAACTATAGCTACATTCTGGAAACGGACAGCAGTGCCCACATGGCATCTCCTCTGATCTCCGTAACGACCTTATGGAATCGGCAGGGCAGCTATCATCACCCCGTCTTACGGAAGAGGAAACTGAGGCCCCTGGGCTTGAGCAATGTCTCCAGAAGCCTCTGGAGCTGGCTCAGCAGGAGCCAGTGGTCACCCCCAGGGCACACACTGCTGACCACGTGTCATGAGGACACTGTCTTAGGAGCCGACTAAACTCGCTCAGAACCAGGGCCAGGACGACAGCCCACATTCTTGTACAAACGACTCAAAAATGTCCCTGTATCATAAACCTATCCAGGAAAACAACGGATCAGCATTCTACATCCCAAAGCTGGAAGGGGTTCTGAGACAATGTTTAAATTTAGTAGTAGCCAGTTTACACAGTTACAAACTGTTTTCATGTACTGTAGTATTTTTAATTTTCAGTATGACATTCATTGATATGATTTAAATTCAAAGAGTTCCCATGAACTAAAAAATTAATGATAGCTAGAGGCTTAAGTTGACATTTTTACCAAAAAAATCAATAATATACATATTTTATGCTACAATTTTAGAGGACTTACCGAATTGAATTGCTTTCAGTTTTGCTAAGTAGATGACTAAATCCTGGGGACAAATTTTCTTTAGGGGACCGCTTTGGACTATAAGCCACGGTCACCGGTGTTAACATAATCTCTCTCTTCGCTGCAGAAGAAAATGAAGAGGAAAGACTCTTTTCCTTCACATAATACATGTGTTATATCGGCAGAACATACTTTCTTTTTTAGCCCTTTCTTCTAACTTTCAAAGAAATATAATTTCATCGTAAAACTCTATGGAGAATAAATAAGAATATCAAAATCGAATTCCTAACCCTGCCATCTAGCGTGAACTATGCAACATCCCATCTATCCGGGCGTAACTGCAGCTTCGCAGGGGTCAGAAGTGGGCGGGAGCGAGGTGGGGTGCCTGAGCCCGGGACTCCCCATGGCCCGGCCCCACAGGGCCCCCCTCAGCTGCTATGCAGGGGGTCAGAAGTGAACGGGAACGAGGTGGGGTGCCTGAACCCAGGACTCCCCATGGCCCGGCCCCACAGGGCCCCCCTCGGCTGCTGTGCAGGGGGTCAGAAGTGAACGGGAACAAGGTGGGGTGCCTGAGCCCAGGGCTCCCCATGGCCCGGCCCCACAGGGCCCCCCTCGGCTGCTGTGCAGGGGGTCAGAAGTGAACGGGAACGAGGTGGGGTGCCTGAGCCCAGGGCTCCCCTCGGCTGTGTGCAGGTGCAGAGTGGGGGCCCAGTGCTTCAACTCGAAAACCACACCTTGATCGGCTCTAGAGAAAGGTGACTCGTGTCGAGTACCCTTAGGCAAACACATGCAAAGAAGCACCCCTTTGCAGGCTAGCCTCAGTGTGATTAGAGAGTTCTCTCCTCTCAGACACTGTGGTGGTATTAGTTGCAAGAATTTGCTGGACACACAAAAAACCTCACTCAACTGATCCTTTTTCCAGTTACAGTCACAGTATCTATGCAGTCAGATGATGTTTTCTTGCGGAAGGTCCTATTTGGGGACCCTGCGCTCGGAGCACTGTCCTGGGCTGAGGGGGAGGAGAGGGGAGGTGGCACGAGCCCAGGAGGGCGCCAGCTCACTCTTACCTGGAGCACTGGACCTGCGGTGGGGAGGCGGCGAGGATGACGCCCTCTGCGCGGCGGAGCTCAGTCTCCGGTGCCTCTGCTGCGCGCACTTCTCTGGGGTGCGGCTTGTTCCCACAGACGTTTCCGTTTGCCGAGGATTCGCTAATTCTACGGGACAGGGGAGAAAAAAATCAAACAAGACAAACCCCGCTTCAGTCATCTGTCTTTATTAACAGGTGGTTACACCAGCAAGCCATTCTTCTCGTAACGAGGGTTGTAATGATTATTCACAAACGCACACCTCACAGGTAAAAACGCCTGATGAAGAAAAATGTGGGAGTTTATAATGCATTCATTCTGGTTCCCTGTTTACAACTGGGATTCAGGTGGTTTTTCAAGAGTTTAATTTTAGAAAGCAGGTCACTAATTTATTTACTAGGCGGCACGGCTGTGGATGCCACACGGAAGATGTCACCGATGTGATCAGGGCCCGGCCAGCGAGCAGAGGAGGGAGCTGCAGGCACCTGGCCCGTGAACACGCAGCCCTGGGACCCGCTGGCCCACTGCGGCTGCTCAGGCACCAGGAAGGGGAGCAGGGCTCTGCCAGCTCACTGTAAAAACACCAGGCTGCCAGAGTTTCTTATTTTTTATCCTCACCCGAGGACATTTTTGCATTTACCTACAGATAGAGCGGGAGGGAGAGAGGGGGGGAAGACAGAGAGAAACATCGATGTGAAAGCGACACATCGAGTGGCTGCCAGCCACACGACCCCAATGGGGGCTGGGGACGAACCACAACCGAGGTACATGCCTTTAGCGGGAACCGAACCCGGGCCTCTCTGGTCAGCAGGCCGACGCTCCAACTGCCGAGCCAAACCGGCCAGGGCTCTGTCAGAACTTTCTGATGTAAGACAAGCTGACATAAAAACATTCAAACAGCCTTAAGAACGCCACAGATACCTTAGTGATCAGGATGTACCGTGTAATCTGCTTTTAGAAGGTGCATGACAGCGACAACTGACTGGTTCACGAGGGTTTGATGACCCATGACGTGGGGCTGGGGCAGCAGTGAGCCAAACTAACCCTCACCACGTGGGGGGCCATTCTAAACTTTTTTTTTTATCCTCACACAAGGACATTTTTGCATTTTTTGTTCAGATAGAGTGGGAAGAAGAGAGAGAGAGAAACATCGACGTGAAAGGGACACATCGAGTGGCTGCCACCTGCACGACCCAACCAGGGCCAGGGACAAACTGCAAGCGAGGTACATGCCCTTAGGGGGAACCGAACCCGGGTTTCTCTGGACCGCAGGCCAACGCTCTAACCGCTGAACCAAACCGGCCAGGGCGGGGGCATTCCATTTCAAACAGAAGGTAACACAGGTAGGGGGAAGGGAATACACTGTGTCTCTATAATCTACACCAAATGAGAAATAAAATACTTACTATTCGAAGTGTCCTCTTTCTCTGTCTGTGTGCCCCAATTTTTAAACATCTTTTCTTCGTCGAGTTCTTTCAAAGCTCTCATGATGGGTGCGTCTGAAGTCTCTCCCTGTTTCTTCATGGGTAAGTCTGCTGGTGAGCTCCCGGGTAGAGAATCCTTTTCCGGAGGAGAAGGGCACCTTAAACGGTAATCGTACGGCACAGTGCTACGGCTGCACGTCCACACCCCGCATGCACGTGCTAGGTCTGTGCTCAGCGTGGCAGTGTTTGGAGGGGCCTGTGGGGTCACGTTCAGATGAGATCGAGGGGCGCCCCCGTGATGGGTTATGCTCTAATGAAAAGGGAGAGAGCAGATCTCTGCACCTGGGACAGGCCATGTGAGGGCACAGCCAGGAGGGGCCTTCCCCACGGACCCAGGAGCGCGGGAGCCTGCACAGCCTGCGCGGGAGCTGTCCAGAGAGCATTCGTCTTTCAAAGCAAAATAAAAATCAGGTTCTTAAAATGAAGACATGAAGGAGCAAGGAGACGGCTCTTTATATCTTCCTGAACCTTCAAAGGGAATCTCTAGGAAAACACAGCAGGTCCTAAACAGCTGACGGGTGTCTCACCCAGGAACACGGCTTTCCCCCGGCTGGCCGGCCGCAGCCCGGTTCTGGGGGTCCAGGGGGTCCAGGGGCTGGCCCGTGAAGATGGAGTACTCCGCGCCGGGGATCAGCCACTTACGCCTGCTGACGTCCGAGGTAGCCAGTGCGCTGCAGAATGAGGGGGTTTGGGTCGTTACAACATTTGTGCTTCCATTTGAACTGAGATGAAAACACCCTGCTTCGAAAGACCGCGTGTGCAGTCATACAGAAATGTAAAACCACACACAGCAATCTTAGTTTCGATACATGAATTCTACATTGCGATTTTAAGATTGAACTACATTGTTATTTCACGCTTCTGTTACTGGTGATCATTCCTGAACCTCAGTTGAGATTCAGGGGTCTCACACCAACACAGCTCTGCACCCCCCCAACTAGCCCATGGCCTGGGCTCAGGGTGAGAGCGGAGGCCAGAGCGCCCTCTGCCTCCCAGACCAGCCCTGGGGCAGACTTCTCTGCACAGCTCACTAGGAAGCCGCTGGTCACATGCTGCTACTGAATTCTCCAAGCAGGGCTACTGAGACTGAAGAACTGATTTAAGTTTTTTTTTTTCTTTTTTATTGAGTTTTAGAGAGGAAGGAAGAGGGAGAGAGAAGTAGAAACATCGATGAGAGAGAACATTGACTGGCCGCCTCCTGCGTGCCCCCCACTGGGGATCAGGCCCTCAACCTGGGCAGGTGCCCTGACTGGGAATCGAACCAGTGACCTCTTGGTGCAGGGTCCACACTCAACCACTGAGCCACATCTGCTGGGCTGAAGAACCGATATTTGAATGTTTTTTATTTAAATGAGTTAGCCGGTCACTGGCTGGACTTTAGAAACCCCGTCTCATTTCCTCTACACCTTCTCTGCCCTCATGCTAAGAAGACCACATGCAGGAGCCGAGCTGGGCCTCTCCGGGGACTTGGCTCTGCCCCTTTTCCAGCACGTGCACCTGGCTGGTCTCGGCAGGGAACATCCCCCGTGTGGAACCGGTCCCCCAAGGTTCTTCCAGCGCCCTACTCCAGCCCAGCACTGACCACAAGGCTGTGCCCGTGGCCTCCCCTTTCCTACCGCGAGCCCCTCCCAGCGTCACTGCTCCTCTCTGCCTCCCCGGTGCACCGGGTGATGGCTGCTCACTGCCCAGTGCCTTTCTGCACCCTGCCGGGCAGCCAGCGCCTCAGCCTGGCGGCTACAGTGACCTCGCTTCTTAGTGCCTTCGCCCCGACAGCTGCGCTCTGCAGAGTGGGGTGTCATCACTGAGTCACTCTCACCATCTTAGCTGGGCACCCAGCACTGCTGGCTACAGAGCCTCCAGTCATCGGCCACCACCTCCCCCACTCCCTCCCCGCCCCGCCGGGGCCTCAGGAGAAGCCGAAACACCGGAGCCAGGAGGCGCTTGCCCTCTGCCCTTCACGCACGCTCTTCAGGAGTTGCCTCTTGTCCCCGTTTTCATTTTAACCCGTCACTCCTTGTCCTTAACTGTTAAATTAAGAAACATTTCAAACAAGCTTAGAAAACTGCGAAGATCACTATAAGGAGCACACACCCACACTGTCTTAACAGATGCACATCTCACCCTGCCTGTTCTCCGTGTCAGACACAAAGCCGCACAGTGCGCTGTGTTTTCAGATGACACCCAGGGCACAGCGCACACATCCCTGCAACGCTGCTGCTTCGACTCAACATCATCTTCGAGGTTCATCCGTGTTAATGCACAAGATGCCACCACCTCACTCGTGTGCCCAGTGTGAGCATCCGCCCTCCTGTGGGTGGACGCTCCATCCCTGCGGGGTCACACTTCAACAATGCCACCATCAACAGGCCTAGAACTGCTCCCAGGCAGACACGCAAGGGTGGAACGTGGAGTGTGGGGTGTGCACCCTCACCCCACTGGACACTGATGAGCCCCGTCTGGCTGTGCCTCTGCAGCCCACTGGTGGTGCGAGTCCCTCCCGCTTCAGCCTGCCCGGCTGCACAACGACTCGATCTTGACGTCGGGCTTGTCCAAGGGTGTGTGCGTGGTCTCCCGTTATCCGTCTAATTTGCATTTTTCTGATTACTAGTGAAATGAGCACCTTTTCATTTTTATTAGCAATTTAGGTTTCATTTCTGTAAACTGCTTGCTCACATTCTGTGACCGCTTTTCTACTGAGGAAGGTGTCTTTTTCTCATTGATTTGTAGAAGTTCTTGATATTCTGGATACTAATCCTTTATTGATTGGTTCCTGTTCTCTTTAAAAATATGAAACATTTCACCCTGGCCAGTTTGGCTCAGCAGTTAGAGCAATGGCCCACAAACCAAAGAGTCACGGGTTCGATTCCGGTCAAGGGCACGTACCTCCGTTGCGATTCAATCCTCTGCCCTGGTTGGGGCTGTGCGGGAGGCAACCAATGGATGTGTCTCTCTCACGTGGATATTTCTTTCAATTTCTCCCTCCCTCCCTTCTTACCTCCCTCTCACTCTATCTGAAGATAAATGAAAAAATACCCTCGGGTGAGGATTAAATTGTGTGTGTGTGTGTGTGTGTGTGTGTGTGTCCGTCCGTCGTCCCTGGAGACACACAGACAGAGTACTCATGCACCAACCATCCTGCTTTAGAAAATCTTGCTTTACTACATATCCCTTAAATTTCCAGAGCAGACACTCCAGATACAAGTGGGGTCCCCTGGTGCCTCTCCTGTCTCACTCTCCCCAAAGCTACCCTTTGGACATTCATGCTCTGCACCCCAGCCTGCTTCCGTGCCTCTGCTGCATGTACCCGAGCCCCGCGGAGCCTGGTGAAACGCGGAGCCGAGGTGGGCAGCAGCCTAGCCGTCCGCCACGGGGCTGCTGCGCCTCCACACCGCGCTCACAGCCGACGGCCGAGCTCAGGGCTGGCACCTTCCTCTGCAAAGAGCCAGAGAGGGAGCATCTACGGGCCCCCCAGTTCTGTGGCAGCTACTCCACTTGGCCACTGCAGGGCAAAGCAGCTGCACACAGATGCAAGTGAATAAGCTTGGCTGGGTCCAACACAACTTTATTTATGGACACTAAAAATTTGAGTTTCATATCATTTTCATGTGTCATGAAATATATATTTTTTCAAACATTTAAAAATGTACAAACTACTCTTTGCTCTCGGACCTCACACACACAGGCGGGTAGGCTAGACCTGGCCTGGGGGCTGTCATTTGCCAGCCCGATCTGGTTGTGCATGGCCGCTGGACAGTGTCACGAAGGACTGAGTCACGATGTGCGTGCAGCTCTCAGACACTCGCCACTGCGTCACTCCAGCCACACTGTCCCCTGGGTCCTCAGGAACCTGCAGCCTGCAAGCCCAGCGACGCACAGTCTGCACTGTGCCCGCCCCTCGGCAGCGCTCCAATCAGGACTGCTCCAATTCTCCTTCGTTTTCGGGCAGCTCTTTCTCAGGCTCCTTGGCAGCTGCTCTACCCAACATGAAAACCCTGGGGATCCCCAGAGCTCTGTCCTAGATGCTCCTCCCCAAACACGCCCGCCTCCTCTGGCTGTCAGCACCATCTGGAAGGCGACTCCGGCAGCTGTAGCTCCAGCCGACCTCACTCCTGAGCTCCACACGCAGCGCTACAGTCACCTGCTCGATTTCCACATGGAACTCACATGACTGTCCAACTGAGATGCCCAAGCTGCGGTTCTGATGTCACCCCAGGCCTGCTCCTGCTGTCCCGTCCCTTCCCGGCACACGGCATCCTCACCCTTCCAGACAGAATCGAAGGGTGTCTTGCACACCTCCCCTACCCCGCCATCCGATGCACAGCCTAGCTCTGCGATTCTGCCTCGACTCTCCGCAAGTGCTTCTCTTCGGTCCATTCTATGGCCACTACCAGCCACCTCCCTCCCAGCACGCAATGTTCTACCCAGTCTCTCTGCTTCTACTCATGCAGGCACATTCAACGAAGCGAAATCAGATGACATAATTTTACTACAGAGAGCCCTTCAAAGTGGACCTAGAGTAGAATCCAAAGTCCTGGCCGTGGCTCCGAAGGCAATCACGACGGGACCATGAGCTCATCGGGGCTGCTTCACCACTGCTGGGGACACATAGGCCACACTAGCTTCCTTTCGGTTCCTCTTACATGCCAAGCCATTTCCTACCTTGGGACTTAGCAGGGCCCATTTCTCCGACGGGAGCATCCCTCTCCCCTCCATCCCTCCATGCCTCTCACTCCAACAACTCCACACATGCTCACTCTCTGCCTCCAGGTCACCTCCACAGACAGACTCTCCCTGACCCAGCCTTGGCCTTCCCGGTGCTCTCTCTCAATGTTCAATTTCAGTGACTGATATAACTTTTCTTTAAATAATCACTATCTTGCCCTGGCCGGTTTGGCTCAGTGGTTAGAGCATCGGCCTGTGGTCCCAAGAGACCCGGGTTCAGTTCCCGCTAAGGGCACGTACCTCAGTTGCAGTTTTTCCTCAGCCCTAGTTGGGTTGTGCGGGTGGCAGCCACTCGATGTGTCCCTTTCACGTCGATGTTTCTCTCTTTCTCTCTCTCTCCCTCTCGCTCTATCTGAACAAAAAATGGAAAAATGTCCTCGGGTGAGGATAAAAATAAATAAATAAATAAATAAATAATAAAAATCAGTGGAAAAATATCCTCAGGTGAGGACTGAAAAAAAATGTATTCTGTAAACGTATCAAGACAATGCTGAGATTACAACAAAGCTAATTTTGAAAAACTAAAAAGAAAAAGCCATACAACCCAATGGAAATCCACCTTCATAAGTCTTTCCATTAAATGTGGGAATAAAATTTCTGGACTTTTAGGGCTAAAAGACCTTTTGAGATGTTTCAGCCCAATGTCCTTGTTTTTACAGATGATAAAACCTGGCTCCACAAAAATGAAGTAATTTGTCTAAGGTCACACAGCTGGGCGGGGTCAAAAAGAAAAAAATGCCCAGTCTCCTTACCCAACCTGATTCTATCTCCACCTGGCAGCACCTCTGTTTCATGCGTATACGATACCTGATGATATGTTCTTACACACCTAGATTCTCTCGCGGCACTAAGCCCTGACTCCCCTGTGATTTACACGGATGAGCTTCTGAGTTCATAAGAGGGCGCACCGATTTCCAGCGTTACGGAGCTGAACAGAACTTACCTGGCACGTGAGGGTCTCGCGGGAGCTCTGGAATCATGACGGAGACTTAACATGTTTTCATGCTCTACTTGCTTGACCTGAGCTTCAAGTTTTGAAATCGTTCTGATTCAAAGTAATAAGATAAATTTAAGTACATTTCAACGCATTTAAAAATATAGCTCAACTATAAATTACTCATTTAACAGACCTTTCTAGAAAAGGGGAGACAAGGGGGCTGCAAGTCCATAAACCTCACAGTAAATCCCACCATTAACTTTACAAAGCTGAACAAAATCAGGGAGAATGAGTAGAAAGACAAAGACATTAAACTCTACAGAGGAACACTTATATCCTACAACTGAAGGAAAAGAAAAAGAAGAAAAAAGACTTAATCTAGTAAGTAAAAAGAGTGATAAATTTGACTACAGATCAAAACATACTACATATAAGTTAAATATAAACTAAATTTAAGTATTCTAACATGTTTACATGTTTAACTCTAATATGTATACATCCATGCATATGAAAATATGTATAGATAACACTTTCATAAAAGAGGAAGCAGGCTTAACTCCTAATAACAGAACTATCAAAAAGAACTTCCTAATTTTTAAACTATGCAAAGGTTAAGCTATCTTGAGCAGCTCAACCTAATGGCAGCTTCTAGAATTTGCACCATGTTCAGAATAAAAGCCTATTTTCAAGTTACCAGGAGAAAATAGTACTATGGCCAATTGTTATGAGCTTATCTTGCATTCTCTGTTCTTTTATTTATTTAATTTATTTTTGTTACAGATGTTCCCCCCCCCCCCATTCTTTGTTCTTTTAAACACTGCATATGTCCTCATCTCATCTTTTAAACTCAAATTCTTACCTGTCCCATTGCAAGGAAGGTCTGCAAGAACAGCTCTAACTGGGCTGGTGCTTTCTGCCAACCCGAGAAGGCCACTAACACTGGACTCGAGTGCGCAGAGGAGAAAGCCAGACAGCTTTCCTTCCTCTCCTAAAGGGAGGTCCTTAAGAGCGCAATAAAATCTCCAAATAGGGACTTTACTATCTCCAAATACAGAAGCATGCTCCAAAGCCAATTAAGACTATTTAATCATTTGCAACAGGGACCATTTATGACTCCATTCCCACCTAATTAAGCAACGCAGACCATGAACACAGTCCCCAAGCCAGGTCTTCAAGAAAGTAGATGACCACAAATTAGTGTGAATGCTGTTCTTTTGGGAGCATAAAAATAATTCCGTGAACTAGACCGCGTCTTAAAATTCTTCCTAACAGTTTACCATCATTTAGATGTTACCTATGCTGAGAAAATACACACTGTTTGGGAAATGCACGGCTCTCAGGCCCAACCACCAACAGATTCTGATGATTTAAAAATCCTCAGTTAAAATCAAATGTACTGTATTTCTATGTTGGGAAGATCAGGATAAAATCTAATCTCAAAGTGCTTTAAAATCCTCAAGAAAAACTTCCTTTTCATCATGTTCAATACAGACACATTTAAGTGCTAAAAAACAGTCAGAGGCCTTTGCTTGTTAGTAAGACAATGCATTTACCTTTTCAAATCAGAAATCTGAGTCTGTGCATCAAGCAATTTGTTCTCTGTTGTATTTAATGTGTCCTATGAAAATAAAGGCAAAGTTCAGAGAACTGAAGATAAGTATTCAAATGTAGTCCTTTTATTTAAAAATGCAAAACACAAACCAGCCTCAGGCTTCACCAGGGAGCTGCAAAGACAGCCCTGCAGACACTCGGCACAGACGCCAACCAGAGCCCAGCCCGAGCCCTCGGCAGGCGGGGAGCAGATGTGGTTCACTCGCATGCTCTGCTCCACTAGAAACAATCCCACGGTGAGTGGGCACATTTACCCACAAACCAGACTGAAGTCTCGGTAAATGGCACAAAAAGCCCTGTGATGAGGAGGTTCCGAACGCAGGGACTGGCTCCCGAATGCCCGGGACGCCTGGCGGGCTGGCGGCACGGGCCTCCTCCCGAACCTCGAGGCCCCTCGACCTGCAGTCTGGGCAGCAGGAAGGCCGGGCCACCCAGCACCGCCGTGGGGTCTCACTGAACACAAACAGTAGCTTCCAAACAGAGCTTTGATTAAGAGTCAAACATAATCAGTTAAGTTCGGCCCCACAAAAAGCCAATGCTTTGAAAAACAAAACTTTATATTTAAATAGTGTAAATTACTTGCATCTGTACGGTACTTTACTCTTCTAAAAATTTCATCTCAAATGCAATAGCCATTCAACAGGTATTTGTTAAATGAACAAATCCACCGAACTGTGAGTGACAGATATTTGAAAAGAAGCCCACTGGCAGGGAGAGGGTAAGTGAGTGGTCAGTGCCACAGCTAAAGGGGAGGGAGAGGAGAGGAGGGGGAAGCAGGGGAGGAGGGGAGGGGGAGGGAGAAGAAAGGAGGGAATTAGGGAAGGGGGGAGGAGGGGAGAAGGGGAGGAGAGGGAGGAAGGCTCAGAGCCCCTGGGGTGCAGTCTGGTGCAGAAAGTTCAGAACATGAAGGATGAATCGTTATTACCTTCACTCTTTCGTGTTCTTTTCCAAGGGACTCATACTCTCCTAACAGCTGCAGGAAAAACAAAGAATTGCACCACAAAATTAAACATTATAACATCAACTGAAGGATACTCTGAAAAATAACTGCCCAGACTCTTAAAAAGTGCCAACATCAGGACAGAGAAAGGCTGACACACTGTTTCAGAATAAAGGCAACTAAAGAGAATCCAACCTAAAGCTGTCAGGAAGAAACTTTCAACAGCCAAAATACGTTTAGATTTTTAGGTACCATGACAAAGGATATTAAGAAAAACTTAGCAAACAATATATAACATGAATCCTCCTCCCGTGTCACTGCCAGACAACCCAATTCTAAGTGAAGTTACATCTAGTTAAAAAGTTCAAACCTGTTCTCAGTCTGGCTCATTTGGCCCTGCCAGACACACAGCTGTTGGTTAAGGAGCCTCACTGTGGGCCTGCTAGAGACAAAGGCCCGGGGCACCACAGTTCTCAGGCTCTGACTGACTGCTTCGAGAGCCACCCAACTCCATCGGAAGGGTGTATATTCGCAGCTACAGCAAAGTTATATCAAATGAAAAAAGCGTGGAAAAAGTCACCAGCACCTGTGAAAGTACAGTTAGCTACGACTACTGCAGCCAAGCACGTCACTACGTCACCACTGTGTCGCTTACATCCTGAAACATCTTGTTTTCCTGCTTTAGCCTGGCGTCCTTGTCATCGGAGAGCCTGTAGGCATTCTCAAATGCGTCTTCCAAACCCTGCAGTCTAGATTTCAGGCGGATGATGGTGTTGTCTTTGTCCTTATTGCTTGTCCTCATCTCCTCGATGCGTTCCTGCAGGATTCTGGAGGCGCTGCTGGCTGCCCTGAGGCGTTCTCTGAAATCACTCTGCAAAATAGACCAGGATAAACTCTCGTTTCTGATAAGAAATAGACGTCTCGATAGCAACTAATAAACTGGGTGCAGTAACATGTATAAGAAGCCCGGCCAGTGTGGCTCAGTGGTTGAGCGTCGACCCTGCACCAAGAGGTTGCTGGTTTGATTCCCGGTCAGGGCACATGCCCAGGTTGTGGGCCCATCCCCAGTGGGGGGCATGCAGGAGGCGGCCAGTTGATGTTCTCTCTCATCGATGTCTCTCTCTCTCTCTCCCTAAAAAATCAATAAAAAAATAATGTACAATAAAAGTAATCAAGCAAAACATAAAATGGAAATGAACAAAGTCCGTATTCTGTCACAGCCTGGGACGGAGCCTAGGAAGGGCCGCACGGCCACGCGATGCCGCACGGCGTGGGCAGGAAAGCCCTATCCGACTCCAGGACTCGCTCGGCAGCGCTCCAGGGAGCGGAAGAACCCGGCCGGCCGTTAGGGAAATGATTCTGCAAGTACGGCTGGAATCTGTTGCCCTACATTAACATGTAAGGGTTTAAAAAAAGCATTTCTTACCCTATTCTCTCACTTACTATAGAAATAAAGAGAAAACTCAAAATGCATGTGATATGTTCATATTCACGCAGCAATCATTGCTTGAATACCCACTAGGTGCTGCGCACTAAGGTGGCTAGAAATGCAGATAACCAGGAAAGACAAGCCCCTGGTTCAGGACATTTCGAGTTTAGGAGACAAAGACAACTAAAAACATCAAAGACAAAGAAAAAGAAGAGCATAACCGACACTTTCCACCAAAACACTGTTTATAAGTTATGTGTGGAAGAATAACACTTGATACTACGTGGAAAAAAAGTTATATATTTAAAAGTAAACACTTATGCATTTCTTATTATTTATATAAGAAAATGGAGCCCTTGCCCTGACTGGTTTTGCTCAGCAGTTCGAGTGTCAGCCCTCGGACCGTGGGGTCAAGGGTTTGATTCTCAGTCAAGAGCATGTACCTGGGTTGCAGATTTGATCCCCAGCCCAGGTTGGGGTTGTGCGGGAGGCCAATCGATGTGTCTCTCTCACATTGATGTTTCTCCCTCCCTCCCTCCCACTCCCTTCCACTCTATCTAAAAAAAGATAAAATAAAATAAAAATCAATGAAAAAATATCCCCAGGTGAGGATTAATAACAACAACAAAATAAAATGGAGCCCTGGAGTGGTGGCTCAGCTGGCTGAAGCGTCATCCCATACACCAAAAAAAGTTTTGGGTTTGATTCCCGGTCAGGGCACATACCTAGGTTGCAGGTTTGATCCCCAGTCAGGGCATGTACAGAAGACAACCAATCGATGTCTCTCTCTCTCTCTCTCTCTCTCTCTCTCCCCCTCCCTCCTTCCCGCTCTCTCCCTCTCTCTCTATGCATGTCCTCAGGTAAGGATTTTTTTAAAAAGACACTAGAACAAAAAAAAACGAATACTTACTTACCACTTCTCTTTCTAGTAGGTTGTTCTTACTTTCAAGTGTCCTCACACGACTAGTGGCTGCGTTCAGAGCACCATCTAATTGGCCGCATCTGAGACCATAAATCGAAAGGAAACAATTAGAAGGTCAAGTCCTCTCCCTGACAAGTGTTCTGTAAATCTAACCGACTCTCCAATACAGCACACAGCCAAGCACACAGCTCTCCACACCAGTCAAGACTCAGAATGCCATTTTATTAAAATATATCCCAATGAACCTGATGACAGTCTAATATCCAGAGAAAATTCTGACATAAAAAGATCCCTGAGAAATACTAAGTGAACTAAGCAAGACATGAACAGAGCCCTACTGCACACCTGTGTTCACAGCAACATTATTCACAGCAGCCAACAGGTGGGAGCAGCTCAGGAGTCCATCAAGGGCCGGATGCACAGACAAAGCCCAGTATGTGTATCTATATACACGTGTAATGGAATACTATTCAGTCTTAAAAAGGAAGGACATCCTGACACAGGCTACAACCTGGATGAACCTCAAGGACATTAAGCTGAGTGACAGGAGCCAGCCACAAAAGTCAAATATTGTACGATTCCACTTATACAAGTTACCCAGAGGAGTTAACTTTGTAGAAATTCACAGAAAGTAGAATAATGGTTGCGAGGGGCTGAAACACCGATCAAACTGTTCTTGAAAGAAATACTACCAGTGAAGCATAGGTGTAGTAAGTGTACTTTGCTGTTTCAATTATCACCCCGATGCTGCTTTGCCAGAGACCTCGCCCGAGCTGTAACCGTGCGACAAGGCCGGCAGACATCGCAGCTGGCCTGCAACACGCGGTTCTAAGTTTGGAAACACTGCTGTGTGTGCTGGCCCCAGAACGGGTGCTGTTTCAGGTGAACCGTTTCTCCAGTTCTAGATGATCACAGCTTCCCATCACCCACCGCAGCAGCCACACCTACGCAGGCTCGGCTTCCGAGGACTCTGCAGGGCACCGTGAGCGAGACCAGATTTCAGTGCCCTCTAAACTCTTTGCAAGGTGCTTTGTTGTTGGGTTTTTGTTTTTTTAGGTGAGGTTTGTTTTGTTTTTTTTGCCCCAGAGAAGAAGTCTTTGCTGCCATCTAGACCTGAGCAGCTTTCATTCTAAGTCCCATTTAATTGTAAAGTATGTTGCAAGTACACTGTTCATTAACACTAAAAAGTGTCAGATTTTGTCAATGATTCTCTCTCTAAAATAGGTGTAAAGCTACCCCTAATACAGGGCCATTCTCCAGTGTTTCTGCGGTTGTTTTTAGCAGGACAATGCTCCCACAAGTTCACGAGTGTCTGGGTGAAAACAAGGTTGAGCGCTGCCCCAGGACATCAGTGTCACTTCTCACTAGGGACTCCACCTGCAGCACTGGCCCTCCCGTCAGTGACATTCCTCCAGGCACGAGGCCCGCTCAACTGCTCAGTCTTCTGCCGTAGGAGGCAGCTGTCCTCAGGCCGGCTCCTAGTGCAGCGCAAGAGGGTGGCTCCAATCGGTAAAATAATTACCAGCCAAACACGTTTTCGGTGTTAAAATGTTCAATTCTGAAGCACCGGATAGTACAGTACGCTCTGGGGAAATAATACATCCAAGCTGGAGAAACAGTGAAATCAAACTTTCAACAACAGTTACACCGTACATTTACCTGTCTACAAGAAGTTGATTGGTTCTCTTCCAATCCTCAACTGCAGAAATTTCTTTTGCCTCCAGCTTCTGTTTCAAGCTGTGTATTTCTGACTCATAATACGCTCGAAGGTCTGCGATGTGCCGGGCATGCTTTTCCTTCAGGGTCTGCCTGACGCTGCGGCGGGAGGGAGAAGCATGAGGAGAGCACCTCTCCCTCCCCAGCCCCAGTGAGGCCCAGAACACAGCCATTCTGCTCAGCAACACAGCCTTCCCCCCGCACATGCACAGAACGTGGAAGTAGACTGATACACAAGCTGACCACTTACAAAGTGAAGAGAGAAAACACGGATTATTTTTTAGATGGTGTACCTTAAAAACACTCTTTCTGTAACTTAGGATTGCATACATTACTGAAGTTCAGTGGCAGCCACTTGCATCATCTAAGCAGACAGCACAGAAAGCCTGTTACCATAAGCGTTCACGAAATGCGTACTTGGCCAGCAGCACAGGGTCTTCCAGGGACGCCAGGGAAATGCATTCTGGGACGTCGCGGGCGGCGCCCGGAAGCCGGGACCGGCTGACCGAGGCGGGAGTCACCATCACAGCGCTGTCCTCTCCCGCGGTGCCGCCCGAGCCGCCGTCGCTGGTGACGGTGTAGACGGAGGGGAAGGTGGAGCTCGCCCGGCTGGCACTGGGGAAGGCGTGGTCTCTCCAGGAGGGCGCCGGCGAGGCTTTCGCATTCGGGGGGCATCTCGGGAGCCCAGACGACAGAGAAGCGGTGTCACTTGCTTGTGAAAGGGAGTCGAAGTCAGAGCGGCCAGAAGCGCTGGGCGCCAGGACAGAGTCGGGCGAGGACGTCCTGCCGCGGAGGGCGCCCAGAGCGCCCGGGGGTGGGGCCCCTGGAGCCTGCTGCTCCGGCTTCGCGTGCAGCGTTGGGTCCAGAGTCAGCACCTGGAACGAGAGGACAGCGGTGGGCTCCCGGCGCCGGCGCCGCGCTGACCCGCCGCGGAGAGCGAGCGGGGACAGGTCAGGCCGGGAGCAGCTCCCACGCCGCCCGCCGCGGAGAGCGAGCGGGGACGGGTCAGGCCGGGAGCAGCTCCCACGCCGCCCGCCGCGGAGAGCGAGCGGGGACGGGTCAGGCCGGGAGCAGCTCCCACGCCGCCCCCCGCGGAGAGCGAGCGGGGACGGGTCAGGCCGGGAGCAGCTCCCACGCCGCCCGCCGCGGAGAGCGAGCGGGGACGGGTCAGGCCGGGAGCAGCTCCCACGCCGCCCGCCGCGGAGAGCGAGCGGGGACGGGTCAGGGCGGGAGCAGCTCCCACGCCGCCCGCCGCGGAGAGCAGAGGACAGGTCAGGGCGGGAGCAGCTCCCACACCGCCCGCCGCGGAGAGCGAGCGGGGACGGGTCAGGGCGGGAGCAGCTCCCACGCCGCCCCCCGCGGAGAGCGAGCGGGGACAGGTCAGGCCGGGAGCAGCTCCCACGCCGCCCCCCGCGGAGAGCGAGCGGGGACAGGTCAGGCCGGGAGCAGCTCCCACGCCGCCCCCCGCGGAGAGCGAGCGGGGACAGGTCAGGCCGGGAGCAGCTCCCACGCCGCCCCCCGCGGAGAGCAGAGGACAGGTCAGGGCGGGAGCAGCTCCCACGCCGCCCCCCGCGGAGAGCGAGCGGGGACAGGTCAGGGCGGGAGCAGCTCCCACGCCGCCCGCCGCGGCGACCTCGTTACCTCGGGCGGATGGTTTGGGCTGGACGCAGCAGGGAGACTCCTCTCGGGTGACTGCTTGCTTTCCCTGTGCCTTCTATGGTAGATGTCCTTCAGTGATGGCAGCTTCGGCTCGTTACCGGCATCAGACTTACAGACACGAAACAGAATCATTTCAATGGTATCAGTGATGGTGAAAAAAGTCCCTGATATCAAGATCAGCACCATAAGAGATTTTTAAAAAGACTTTAAATAGCGGTTAGAGCGTCAGTCTGCAGTCCGGAGAGACCCGGGTTCGTTCCCGCTAAGGGCACGTACCTCGGTTGCAGTTTGTCCCCGGCCCTGGTTGGTCGTGCGGGTGGCAGCCACTCGATGTGTCCCTTTCACGTCGATGATTCCCTCTCTCTCCCTTCCTCTCTCTCCCTCCCACTCTGTCTGTACAAAAAATGGAAAAATGTCCTCAAATGAGGATAAAAAATAAATAAATAAAAAATTTTAAGAAATGAAATAAAAAGACTTTAAATAAATTGAGACTTTGGATTGTCAGAGTTACAATAAAGGTTTGGAAGTCAAAACCTATTATGATGAGTCTCCCTCACGAGAAAGTTTTCTTATCCCCTAATAAACATTAAGGGAATCATTTGAATCTAATTATTTAGCAGCCTAGAATACTTTCAAAGAATAAAATCCTTTAGTCCCCCTGCTCACAGTGAGAACCAGGCTCAGATCAGAGAAGACTTCAGAACAAAGGGGTGAGGCAGGACAAGAACTCTTCTCTCCAGACCGCTCTCCTGTGACCTGAGCGGACAGCTGTCAAGAGGTGAAGCTCCTACCTAGGTAGTTATGTGCCCGTGAAGAGTTGGCAGACAAGAAGAGTATTTCTACAGCTTGACATCACAGTTCCGCTACACCGGAAATGCCGCAATGTGGTCTAAGCTCCAAGTGGTAAAACTTTGGGCTTAAATTATTTTAAGGCCCTGGCCGGTTTGGCTCAATGGTTAGAACGTCGGCCTGCAGACCAAAGAGTCCCAGGTTCAATTCTGGCCAAGGGCATGTACTTCAGTTGCAGTTCGTCTCTGGCCTCTGCTAGGGTCGTGTGGGTGGCAACCAATTGATGTGTCTCTCATGTCAATGTTTCTCTCTCCCTCTCTCCCCCTCCCACTCTGTCTGAAGATAAATGTTAAAATTTCCTCGAATGACGATTAAAAAAAAAATTATTTCAAGGTGGGAGCTACTGTAGATGGTGACAAGGTTGCCATTTTACCCTGTCAAATGTAAACTGCAGACATTCTGTCAAATGAGATTATAGATTCAATGAGGGCCACAATGAAAGAACACATTGGGCTGCAGGGCACCATCAATTCATAGTTTTAAATCAACTGTAACTAGCTTGTGAATAAGACAATCCATTTGTTTGTGTGTACTAAAGGCATTAATTTGTTAAATGTAAACCGTTAAAATGACCTGTGACCCTGTTTTTTTTTTTTTGTTTTTTTTTATCCTCACCCGAGGACATTTTTCCACTTTTTTTGTACAGATCGAGTGGGAGGGAGAGAGAGGAAGAGAGAAACATCGACGTGAAAGGGACACATCGAGTGGCTGCCACCCGCACGACCAACCAGGGCCGGGGACAAACAGCAACCAAGGTACGCGCCCTTAGCGGGAACCGAACCGGGTCTCTCTAGACCGCAGGCCGACGCTCTAACCGCTGAGCCAAACCGGCCAGGGCCTGTTTTATTTCATTATCTTATTTTGTTAATCCTCAAAATCCTAAGGATATTTTTCCACTGATTTTTTTTTTTTTTTTTTTAGGTAGAAAGGAGGAAGAAAGGGAGGGGGAGGGGAAGGAGAAGACAGAGGGAGGGAGAGAGAGAGAAACAGACAGACACAGACACATCAATTGGTTGCTTCCCGCACAACCCCGACCAGTGCCGGGGGTTGAACCTGCAACCCAGGTACATGCCCTTGACCAGGAATTGAACCCACAACCCTTCGGTCTGTAGGCCAACACTAACCGCTGAGCCAAACCAGCCAGGGCTGTAATCCCATTTTAAAACTTTACTTTTTTTAAAATCCTTACCCTAGGATATTTTTCCATTGATTTTCAGATACAGTGGGTGGGGGATAGAGAGAGAGAGAAACATTGATGCAAGAGAGACATCGATTGGTTGCTTCCTGCACGACCCCAACCAGGGCCAGGGACAAATTGCAACCAATGTACGTGCCCTTGAGCAGAATCGAACCCGCGACTCTTTGGTCCACAGGCCAATGCTCTAACCTCTGAGCCAAACCGGCCAAGGCCGTAATCCTCTTTGGAAACTTTACTTTCTATATACCAACAAACTAGAGGCCCCTCGAGCCTCACAGCCTATGACAAGTAGCAGCGCTCTGGCTACGGCTCAGCCTAGGGACCCCGGCGTGGTGGCTGATATTCTCCTTGGTGCTCACAGTAGTACAAGCTACCATTTGTCACCACGTCAATGATTTCCTTTCTCTTCAGAGTTAAACTCTCTGAAATGAGAGAGTCTTGTAACTCACAGCATCTTGCAAGTCCATTCGGTCAAACAGCAGCTGTGCCATGACTGTCACTGCCTGGTCACAAACAAGTACTGAAGCTATCAGAAGTGGCCGAACAGGTGTCCTGAGACCACAGTGGACCCGACAGCCGCTATTTAAAGGACAGTGAAGCGGTCGTGTTCGGCAACACCCCCGACCTGGGAGTCCAAAGTGGGCCAGCCCCCATAACTGCTCGGCCAGGACAACGCGGCACCCGGCCTCTGTCCTCTTGTAAAGAAACGCCAAGTCACCAAGGAAAAGGCACATGGGAACCGGAACCAGCGCTGGAATGGAAAGAGGAGGGCAAGCCTCTGTAGGCGAAGAAGCTCTAACCGATGTATTTCACGTACATTTTCCTTAAGTATGTGTAAGACTTATATGAGAAATATCTTTGTTCTTTTTGTAAGAAAAAAAATAGAAATCCTAAAGTGGCAAGAAAGCATTTTATCAGTGTAACTGGTAAATTTTTTCTTAGTAGCCTATGAAACGGAAAGTCTTAAAACGGGTGGCATCTGCCCTGGCCAGTTTGGCTCAGCAGTTAGAGGGTCAACCCGCGGACCAGTGAAAATGGGTGGCATCTTGGGGCCAACAAATACTGAACCACTTACAGATGGAGCAGATCAAGAGCATGGGGGGGCCCAGTGAGCACAGAGCCCCGCAGCCTCCCAGCCCTCACTCTCTCACGTCCCCACCCTTCCGTCCCCACGTTCCGTTCTCCTCGGGTTATCTGTCTCTTCTTTGCTCCTCCCCTGAAGGGTGACACACTGGTTTCCGCCCCTCGCTGGGCCTCTGATGTGTGAAAGTCGCCGGACCCCATCTGCCCTGTCTATGCCTGTCACTCGGGCTCACAGCTCCTGGGTTACTTGAACTGTATCTCTCCTTTTCCCAAACCCACTCCTCTCTCATCACCTGATCAAAACACAGAACTGAGGTATGTGCCTCGATATGCACATATTGGAGACCTTTACTTCTTTGTTCTGAAATAACCAAAATATTTACATTTCTCGCTCAGAGAAAATATCGCCAATTAAATTGTTCAGCATTAGACTACAAATGGATTAGCGGAATGGTGTAATCGGGTGAAAAGTCAAACCAGGTCTGAGAGCAGGAGATGTTTGTCTGTGGAATGACTATTAAATAGTAGGCACAAAACTACCTCATTTAATTTCACAAAGCACACTGGGCCTTTTTTTATTTTAATCCTCACCCGAGGACACACACCTTGACTGGGGATAGAACCCGTAATCTCAGTATATGCTCTGACCGGGAATTGAACCCGAGACCCTTCAGTGCAGGGGATGACACCCAACCAATGGAGTCACACTGCCCAGGGTCACTTTTTAATTCCACTTTTAAGTAACTTTCTGGAGATTACAGAGGCAATGACACAGAATTTGAGAACAGATGACTGTGATTTAAAGTCCATGCTTTTTTCTCTATATTAAAAAGTGAAAAATACAGACTGTATAATGAAATCGATCCTTAGCGCCCATCTGATAGCGCACACGCTGTGTCTGACTCACCTGGCTGGCCGGCGTGCCGGTGGAGGAGGGCGGGGCGCACGGCGGGGCCGAGGGCTGAGGCAAAGACCGGCCCGTGTCTTTCTCCTCCAGGTCCCAGTAAGTCCGGCCTGAGCTCAGGGCACAGAGGGAAGCGAGAAGGAAAGACAACAAAAGTGGTTCTGGAATGACTTATTTCCACCTCAAGAAAATGAGATATGGGAAGTAACTAGCTTTGCCTATCTGAACACGGAGAGCTGAATTTGGACAGGAAAGGGCTCACATAATGCTATACCCTAACAGTCCTACCTTTGTGACCCAAAGATTTACAATTCAAAGATGATATAAGTCAAGATCAAGTAGTATAATTTAAAAACAATTTTAAAGACAACAATTTCTTTATGAACAGGACAGACTTATATGGAAGCGATGTGAAGAAATCGGTAACTGCCCGGCTGGTGTGGCTCAGTGGACTGAGCGATGTCCATGGACTGAGAAGTCCCGGTTCGATTGGGTCAGGGCACATGCCCCAGTTGCAGGCTCCATCCCTGGCAGGGGGTGTGCAGGAGGCAGCCAATCAATGTCTCTCTCTCACATCAATGTTTCTATCTCTCCCTCTAAAAAAATGAATAAAAACATTAAAAAAAAAGATATCAGGGCCCTGGCCAATTTGGCTCAGCGGTTAGAGCGTCAGCCTGTGGTCCAGAAAGACCCAGGTTCGATTCCCGCTAGGGGCATGTACCTTGGTTGCAGTTTGTCCCCAGCCCCGTTGTGGGTGGCAGCCACTCGATGTGTCTCTCTCACATCAATGTTTCTCTCTCTCTCTCCCTCCCTCTCCCCCTCCTGCTCTATCTGAAGATTAATGCAAAAATGTGTCTGGTGAGGATAAAAAAAAAGTATTCAATAATTGAAATATTTATTGAGCACTTACTATGACAGGCTGGGGTATGGGGAGACTGAGACCTGAACAATAAGAAAATCACACAATAGCCCTGGCCGGTTTGATTCAGCGGTAGAGCGTCGGCCCGCGGACCAGTGAGTCGCGGGTTCGATTCTGGTCAAGGGCACGGACCTCGGTTGCAGTTCATTCCTGGCCCTAGTTGGGTTGTGTGGAAAGCATCCAGGTGATGTGGCTCTATCACATCGATGTTTCTCTCTGCCTCTCTCTCTCCCCGTCCCTCCCACTCTAATGATAAATGGAAAAATATCTTCAGGAGAGAAATAAAAAAAATAAAATAGAAATAGAAAATCAACAATATATACAGAAAGTTAGAGGGTGGGAAGCACTCGGACAGTAAGATGTAAAACTCAGATAGAAGAGAGGATGTGGGGGGAGAGGGGGACAGGTGCTCTTTCTGAATAGCGTGGTGGGGGCTGGCTCACCTCCAGGGAGTTTCCTGTTTAAGGAGGAGCCGGCTGTCTTAGCCGCCCGCATATGAGGCAGTTCCCACACCGGGGAGGACATTCCAAGCACAGGAAGCAGCCCATGCAGAGCCCTGAACTGAAAACCTGTCTGGCGTGTGTGAGCAAACTGCCTCCCGCGGAAGCAGAGATCGGGAGAGGGCGGCAGAAGGCGAGGTCAAGGCGACAAGGCTAGACCTCGCGGGGCCTCTGAAAGGACTCGCTGTCGCTCCAGCGAAGCGGAACTGAGTTCTGAGCAGAGGAGTCACATGATCTGCTCATATTTATTTTTTTAAATCCTCACCCAAGAATATTTTTCTATTCATCCTCAGATAGAGTGGGAGGGAGAGAAAGGGAGAGAGAGAGAAACATCGATGTGAGAGAGAGAGGGACACATCAGCTGGTTGCCTCCCGCATGACCCCGACCAGAGCCGAGGGCGAATCGCAACCGAGGTACGTGGCCTTGGCCAGAATCGAACCTGAGACTCATTGGTCCAGCGGCCAAAGCTCTGCCGCTGAGCCAAACAGGCCAGGGCACTCTGCTCATGTTTAAAAAGGAGGCTGGTCAGAAGTGACAGGAGCCAGGTGGCAGATGGCGGGCTCTACTAGGGTGCAGCTGTAGGCGGCTGGGAACTGGGCAATTCTCAGAAGGCAAAGCTAGTCCATCCCGATGGATGGGCTGCAGGAGTGTGGAAAAGGGGTCACTGTGAAACCCTGGGACTGGAACAAGGCCGCCCAGAGAGGGAAGAGGGCGCAGAGGGCTTGCGGGACTTCCCCTCGGAGGCACTGGGGTGCAGGGCTGCGGCGCACAGCCGGTCCTGAGCGTGCGGACCGCCGCACCCGGGAAGGAAGTCACAGCCGCCAGGGCCCAGCGCGGTGCCGCGGAGCCCGCTGGGGCTCTGCACCAGTCTCGCCTGCTGGGAGATGCAGTTGTTATTTAGGAAAAAACCAACTCTTTAAAAATGTAAGTATCATACCTGTTCTGGAATCAGACATCCAAAAATTGGGACTTTCATCCGGTTTACTGAGGTAAAAAGCACGAGGCTGTGCAGCAGCAGCGAACTCCGACTACAAAGCAAGAAGACAGCGGGGAGGGACAGCTAGCCTCCTCGGGCACCCACTGCCCCCAAGGCCAGCAGGAACCCTCCAGAGCTCTGAGCAAAGAAACCTGGCTGGCCCGCTTGTCACAAAAACGCAAAACAATGGAATTAACACTAAACAGTTCTCTTTTCCTACATAATTGACAAAAGTTAGTGCAGTTTTCTGTGGAACTGGGAGGAGGAACAGAGCAGGTGTTCCTCAGTGAGCTTGGTACCGAAATGTATTCACAGTTCGCCATCTACTTCCCAAGGAAATGTGAGGCGCCTAGAATTCATGTCCTTCATAGAAAAACGTAAGAGGCACAATAACTCACTTTATCATTCAGCCACATTAACCAACTCTGAAAACAACAAACAGTAATCAATATGAACTTTAAACAGCAGACTGTCTCACGCACAAACAATGGTCACTAGACCCAGAAAAGGCTCAACATGCCGACTTAGCGCTTCTAATAAAAATTCTGAGCTAATCTCTCCTTATAGTATCTCTGCATTGTCTCACATCTGTATTTGGGTTTCCAATTAGAAATGTGTGGAAAGACTATTTTAACCAGAATTTGCCTCAGTTCCACCATCATCAAAGGTTCGACTCCTGCTAAAACAGCAGCCGCGGAGTCTGCGCACAACCCCCATGGGCCCTGCAGAAGCAAAGGCCACCGAGCTCAAGACGCTCCGCCCACCGAGGAGGGGCCGGCACCTCGGCCTCCTGAGGCACCACTGAGCCTCCTTTCACCAGTGAGAATTCCTAGTTTATCTTCTGTCCCTTCTAAAACGCCTACCTGTTCAAAGTCCTGTCCAGTCTCAGCACTTAAAAGACAAGTGAAAAATCCCCCGTGAAACACTGTCCTCCTCCAATCCCGAGGCGCAAGCTGAGGGCAAACAAAACAGGCCCAGCCTCTGATGAGAAAGTGTGGGGCAATGGGAAGCCCTCCCCCAGAAGTTGGCTCAGCCTAGCCCTTCACCTAAAAGCACCACGGAGCCTGCAGCCAGGGAAGTGGTCAAACCCGTCCCGGACAACGGACCAAAGAAACAAAGACAGACTGAGCTTTGGACAATCCTGATGCTAAATCATACCCAATTTCAAGATGTGCCTCGAAATAGCTAGTACCTGAAATAAATCACCATGTATAATAAAAACTGGATCCCAAGAGAATTCCGATCACAAGGTTCCCCTGATCTAGACTGAACCTGGAAAAAACAATGGAGGAGAGAAAGAATGCAATTAAGAGGAAAGTTCCAACTTTTGTGAATCCACAGAATTTGATTCAGAATGACGCAGGTAAGAAGGCATTTCAGTTGTGGCTCTTTGACTCAACAACCACATTACCTAAAATCATTTAAAACTCAGAAATGGCAAAGAAACTTAATTTCCCCTAATGATTTATGCCAAAAATATCATCCACCCTAAAAAAAAGAGGGAATATAAAACGTGTCCAGGAGATGACCAAAGCAAAGGAAACTCAAGGGAAGAAGCATCCCCTCGACACAGCTTCCGCTCGGCCCGCTGCCATCACCAGAGGCTGCACACGTACCAGCAGACCTGCCCCAGGGCGTCCGGCCGCAGCCCGATTCTCCACCAGCTGATGGACGAGGAAGTTTAGGCCAGATCGGTGGTTCCCAAGCCTCGAAGTGCAGGAGAATCACCTGACGAGCTCTCAACCTCCCAATTCACAGGTGATACCTGCCCTGGTGACGGCTGCCCACCTGGGTCTTACATAGATTTTTAAAGCTCCACAGGTACCCAGTGTGCAGCCAGGTTTGGGAACCACTGGGCCACATGGAGCCAACACTGAGCTATGGTCACAAAGGACACCGACTTCCAACCTGTGAATCCTTCGTTACCACCACAAACCCAAAGTTACAGAAGTGGAAGCCTCCGCAGCCTGAGTTCCAGTTACGGTAAAAACAGAAGCAAAGGAACTAGAACGTCTGGAAACATCCTCCCTTTCTGCAGCCTGTTCCAACGGAAAAGCGCTTTCAGCCCCGTCCCCAGGAGCTCCCGTGCCATCGCACCAGACGAGAGCCGGGCCTCCTGCCGCCTGAGGGTCACGTGGCCCACGCAGCTGCCCTCTCCACTGCCCTCCTCAACACAAACCCAAGGTCAAAGAACGGTGATTAGGGAGCCCAGGTGTCAAGGGCTGAAGAAAGGAAATGTGTTGGGAGAAAAGGGAAATAAAGTGCCTTGTGGAGGCTGAGAATGTCTTCATGGGACTTCTACTGTCCAATCTTTTTCATACGATGAGGAAAGACTACGTTTCAGCTCGCCAGGACACGGCCAATTCTGAAGGTATCAAGTTCAGAAAGAAGCAAATTGTCCAACTGCAATGGATTATACTATTATACTAAAAAATGTTATTCTGTGATAATTTAGATCAAAAAGGTTTTAAAGATGTTTAAAACTTTCTCAATATCTATGACTCTTTCATGATAGTAGCTGCTACACAGCAAAAGGGGCACAGAGAATTTAAACATTTAATCTCTTACGATTTGGATTATAAATTCAGAGTTGTTCAAACTCAGAAGTTTTTATATAAAGGCATCTTAAAGCCTTCACACGTTCAATATGATTTCTTACAACTTAATAGTAGTACAAATTACTTGAAGTGTTTTTGTGTTTGTTTTTTAACAATTAAATGAGTTACTGTGGCTACATGTGACCTTGCAGTAGAAGAATGAGGGAGGGCCTTTACAAATCAGTTGTTTGCTCTAGACTTTCTCCCTCGGTGGTTGTGAGTCGGGGAAGCAGCAGTACCCAGAGCCAACCTGTTCCCCTGCTCTGAGCCGCAGAAGGCAGAGAGCTGGGTGGGGAGACCGACAACAGGAGGAAAGCGGCACTCCTGTGCAGATGGGCAGGTGGGGACCCAACAGGAGACCGGAGCCCTGACGCACACCTACTTTCTCCAGCGGCGCTGTCCCGGGCTGCTCGGCTCCCTGCCAGGATCTGGGACGTCCCCCTTCCGCATGTGCCCCCTTTGGGTGGGTCAGCTTCAGCTTTTGCGCCCATGATGTTATAGCTTTATTACTGACAAAGAGAAAACCAAAATTACTCTTTAGATTCTGCCCTTCCCATGTGAAACTAAACACTCGCCGACACTGCGTCAGTGGAAAGAGTGGGTTGTTTTCTAACGGCAAAGAGACGATGGACATTTATGAATTCACCTAAATACCTTTCTTCAATTTCTCATTACCAAAGGCAAAGTGACCTGAAAGACTAACAGGGAGCCCGGGCTCAGTTAGTCCGGCAGCCTTCAGAGCACACGCCCAGGTTGCAGCCTTGAACCCAGTAGGGGGCGTGCAGGAGGCAACCGATGGATGTTTCTCTCTATCCCTCTCCCTTCCTCTCTCTCTAAAATCAATAAAGACATACTAAAAAAAAAAAAAAAAGACTGACAGTGATTAACAACACATATAGTCTGTAGCCATGGGCTAGAACAAAACCACGCAGTGACCCCTTCAAGCTCTAAAACTATCTCCACAGTGAGAGCACATTTATTTACGTGGACTAATAACTACACTGTGCACACACAAAACTAGTGTTGCTATGGCTACATACCTTACTTTAGATGACACATTTCAGAGATATAAAACTAAAATTTAGGGAAAACTACATAATTTTAAATGACTTTTTTGTTTTACAAATATTCAGCTAGTTTCCTTTACTAAAAAGTCCCTAGGTCAATCAAAATGTCCTTAAACTTACAAATCTCTTATCTATAAAACAACACATCGGGTATGCTTGTGTATACTACTTTATAAGATATAAAGTTTATTTGAGCAAATCAGAGGACATGCCTGGAAGCAAGATCTCAAGAGACTGAGAAAAATGCTTCTTGCTTATGATTTTTCATTTCCAACTATATGAAGGTGTGTGACAAAATCCCACTGTTGACACGGTCCTACAGTGTCATTTTGAGTAAGATTATAGTGACTAGAAAACCTTGAAGGTATTTTTCTAGCAAGGCCTCCCTTCCACCATAAAAGTTTAGTAGCCTTATAACATTGCAAATGGGAAAAGTCAAATGTCATTAGTATATAATGTGCTTTGTTTATTTCAATTTCCACAGGCACTAAACAAAGGGCTTCACGAAAACTGATGAATGTGCAAATACATCTCATTCTATTACAGTCCATCTGAAAGGAGCTTCATTTACTAGATTTGAAGTGTATTCAACAAGTAAACTCCCTTCGAATGATGCAGAAACTCTACTTACCTATTTGTTTTTCCACCGTATACTTCCAGAATCTTACTTTCACCAAGAAAGCTGTGTTCAAATTCACCAGGAAAAATGGCAATATCTTCCTTTAATGAGGCACCAAATTCTTCAGGAGAATGTATGTAGAAACGCTTGTGTTTTCCACAGTCCACGAGAGACGAGGTCCGCACCGCGGGCACCCCACACTGCCCTGCAGGAGCCTCCGCGTGCTCCATGAACTCCTGGGGGCCCTTCGAGGTGCAGGTGTTTAGCTCGGAGACACAACAGGTCCCATACCCACTGCTCACTGAGCTACTGTCCACAGTGCAGTCGGGCTGTGATGAGGATGCTTCTTGCTGCATGTCAGGTTCTTTAGACTGTGGGTAACTGAGAACAGATTCATTTCTGTCACTGTTTTCAGAAAAAAAACCCATCTGCCTTTCTGAAGATATGTGTTTGCTTACAGAACTTCTATCACCGGAAGCCCACGAAGCATTACTGCTCTGTAACTTGACTAAATTTTTTATCTCCTCTTGTATCCGCTGAAAATAAAAAAGTTGTATGTTTGGGTAAGTATATTAGACATCACATTTTTATAAATGGTATGAAAATAGTGTTCAAAATATGATGAGATACTCCTCTAAAAATAATACGGATGCTTTATCTTTAGTTTAGAAACAACACTGACATTGAGTGTTGATCGGTTTTCTGCAGATCTCGGGCTCCGACGAGACTCGAAGGCGACTTACTTGAAGCTGGCTGTGGAACTGTTCCCGCCGGGCAGCTGTGTGTTCCTGGCGCCGGGTCTCCACCAACCTGAACAGCTGTAACCACCTGGCCTAATAAATCATACAGCGTTTTAGTTCAAATCATTTTTAACCTGATATTTCACAGAAAAATCCCTCCAGTGAGAAAGGGCCTTTTTAAAAATCTATTTTCAATGTCAAATTTGTAAGCTAAGTTAAACAGTTATAAAACCATATTTAATCGGGTACCCCTTTCTTAGGGTAAATCTTATTTTTCAAATGACATCTTAATTTGATGTCCTCTGCTGTCATTTCAAATGAATTAAGAACGGGTAGGGGCACCTTATGTTTGTCTCAAGTTCCTCTTCCTTTCCTCATAACAGCTAATAATTTTCTTAAACGCTGATTTGTACCCCAAAAAGGAATCCCACATTTTAAAACAAGAAATCATTTGGTATTATGAGATGTTAACCCTAATTTATTTATTCTTAAATAAAAATCCCTTTTAAAAATCAGATATTAAAGAGTTTAAAGCACTACAGCTGAAAAAGGAATGAAAAAAATGACTCCGAAAACCTAAGAAATGGCCTGTGACTCCCTTCACAGCCTCGTGCAGGTCCTGATCCATCCTGACTCCCAAGCGGAGTTAGCGCTCTTGTAACTAGACTAAGCCCGGCAAGGCAGAAAGGGCGTGAGTCTGCAGAGACTGCATGCATTCTCAAGGCTGCGTACTTTCAATAATGGACTACATGCCATGCTCTACACTGTCAACAGGGAGCAGCCGCAAGTTTCCCTGCTCAAAACCTCTGTGTCCTTCCTAGCATTCCTGTGGGTCTGCGTGACCTGGTTCACCAACACCTCCGACCTCATTTCATCCCTCTCTGTCCCTCGCTCCCTACACACCAAACTCGCTGGCTTCTTCCTGTCCCCTGAACATGCCCAACTGTCTTCCACCTCAAGGGCTTTGCTCTCGCCGTGGCCTCTCCCTGGAAAGGTCTGCTCCCCAGCTCTTAATATGGCTTGCTTCTTCCCACGCTGCAATTTCAGCTTACTTGTCACCTCTTCGAGAAAGAGTTTCCCAAACCATCTACGCTCTTCCTTGTCATCCTGTTCATTTCCTTCATAGCATTTACCACGATCAGAAAGTATCTCATTTGTTCACTGTGTTCATGTCTGTCTCCCGTCCCTGCCCCCGTCTAGCTCCAGCACCTGAGACGCAAGGCCAAGGAAAGAGAAGGCCCCCGGGAATACAGCAAAATGAGTGTATAAGACTGTATCTGTCTGGCTGAACTTTTCTTGGTATTACACACTACGCAACACAGAGTTCGGTTAATGTCAAAGCCAATCATATAACCATAATATAACAGAATTAAGTTGAAACCTATGTAACAGCATTAAGGTGAAAGGGGGAGAAACTCAGGATTGGAAAAAGAAACCTTCAAACAGAAATATGAAAGTACAATAGAACGTGTTAATGCTAAATCAACTAACTCCAGCTCAAGGTAGGCTAGAACAAGTTAGGTTCCTTGTGGTCTCAACTTACCTATAAAGTATCAACAAGAAATAAGCAGGCGACAGTGTTCCTATTGAGCTATACAACACTTAAGCCACACGTTAGGGGTTATTTTTAACCTGATAAAGTTACTATTCACATAAAACTAAATTACAGTAATGATAGAATAACAATTTACATAACAAAAAAATTTATGTGAAGCACTTGATATTAATCACATCCTTATTATCATTTTCTTATTTAGGATACAGATGATTAGAACGTACTCAGGATATAAATTAGTGAAGATCTTCTTCCTAGGCAGATTTTATTGTTAATATTTTAATTTTAAATAAACTAATTTAAGAATTTTATAAATGCAGTGAATACCATTAGTCACTTAATTATTAAAAAGGGCTGTTATTGATTTCAAACTACAATAATTAATACCACCTACATTTTACATATGGTTGGAGGAAACAGGCAACTAATTCGTTTTCTCCTGCACCCACTTTTTGAATGCTAATGGCCCGAAAGGGATCTCCACAGTCCAGCCTGGTAAATATCCCACAGGCTCGGACCTCCTAGTTCTGCCTCCCACCTCTCCATTCAGTCTCTGTGGTCCTGCACAAGTAAATCTCATTTCTTTCTGTCTCATTTCTAATTTATCAAACGGGAATAACCGCTCACAGATGGCCGAGAGGATTAGATTTTAAATTTAAATACGCGGCATAGAAAGCAGCAATCTCAGTGGGGAAACTCTATTATGAAAACCTGTGAGGTCATGGTTGTCACAAAGATGGGGGCAGGGGTGGCAAGTAGCATTTAGTGGGCTAGGCCCAGGGATGCAAATCACGGGGCAGTTCCCCACAATGAAGAATTGTCCTGAGTCCATTTTATATTATAAAATTCATTATTTTTTTGCAGTTTTCAAATCACCAAATTGTCCAGGAAAGCACCTACGAAGATCTTGAGTTTGTTTCAGAATTTTATCAGAAATCGGTCACCATTTCAGGAGACCGTGTCCCCACGTGCTGGGCTGGGCCATCAGTGTAACAGGTCGCACTCATGCTGCGTCTACTCGGAGGCAGACATAACTGGAGCGTGCCTGGGTCCTTGTCTACTGACGTCTCCGTTATCTGGCTATAAACCACTCTTACTCCTTTACAGCACAGTTAGGACACTGTGATTTTTTTAAGTAGGTGCAGGCAGGTTATACTATCTGTGAATTTCATTTCAGAGGGCTTTGTTCATGTCATTTTGAAACTGTTATAAAAATGGCCTTGGGTCTAGTAAGGTGGAATGCCACTGACACAAAGTGCCTGCGATGATGCCCAGCGAGCGAGCAGGTACCCAGTAAACAGCAGACATCATACTAGTAATAATCATTACCATTATCTATGATCTGCAGTGCTAACCAGCTCAAATAATTAAAACAAATGAAGTGCTTTACAAATTGCTTACATATGTGAAACTGGAAAAAACGTTTTATAATCACAGAAATATTAGCAAGTGTTTAAGAATGTCTGAAAGTATTTCCATGTAAATGTGTTAAAGATTCTTATCCAATGGAATCAAAACAATTTCCCCCAGTTTAAGCAGGTTTTAGCAAAAAGAAAGAGCCGGGATCAAACATGTATGAAAGAAGCAGGTCATCGGCAGGGCTCTTCGAGGGTCACTGCGGAGGTCGCTGCTCTGTTCTGACAGCCTGGGCGAGCCCCGCTCCGCAGGAGGAATCAGAGGAATGTCCCTGCTGCAGAGGGACGGTGAGGACGTGAGGTTCAGGGAGAAGAGTCGGGAGTAAGACTTGCACATCCTTACCCCTCCCACTTTTTCTAAAACACTAAATGTGCCATCAGAGCCTTTGGTTTTCGTACCCAACAAAAATACTATAAAACACACTAAACAAATGTGAGAAATTTTACTGAAATGGCCAGAAGGATATTTCATATTCTGTCAGAGTAAGGAATAGCCTAAGAACTCTGTGGGAGACTTTTGCATGGCATCCATTCTGTTACAATCTGCTCTGCCGTCTCCGGCCCCAGGGCAGGCTCTCTGCATACAGTGTCTGCATTCCTCTAGATAATTGTTTACTCCATTCTTTGCTTACCATTTGTTCCACCTGGGGTATTTACTGGAATTTGCTTCAGGTGGGATACTCATTAACTGTTTCACCTGTTTTTTTCCTATATAGTATGTGACCTCCCCCTGAATAAATGAGACTTGATCAGAACCCTGTCTTGTCTCCATTTCTCGTGTCTCTTGTCCCTCCTCATCCTCACTCCCCCTCTAGAGTCCTCGTTGCTCGACCTGCGAGACGGGTCAAAACTCTTCAGTGGAGAATCGGTTACGTGTTTGCATTAAGAAAATTAAGTAATCAATCATTACCAAACATGAAAAAATAACACAAACTATGGTTCTAAAAGTATGATTAACATTTAAAACAAAATCTCCTGTACTCTAAACAGACTTGAATAATAATGTTTATACGTACATTTCTATTGAGCATTATCAAATCTAGACTTGGAAAGTCTATCTTGGGCATTAGTCTATGAAGGAATAAAAAACTGTTTTTAAATCGTCATCCAAGGATATGTTCATTGATTTGTGAGAGAGAGACAGAGAGAGAAACATCAATGTGAGAAAGAAGCATCGATCAGCTACCTCCGGGGATAAACCCACAATCTTCTGCTGTATGGGATGATGTTCCAACCAACTGAGCCACCTGGCCAGAGTGAAGCAAAATTTATATATGCAAGTATCTCTTAATTAAGTTTTTATATCACAATTTAACCTATGGCCCACTGCCCTGAACTCAATATAACTCAATGTGTCACAGCTAAGTGTGATAAGATATTAAATAGAGGCCTTAATTGATAAAAGTCTTTTGAATACTCTAAGTTTTTCAAAATGATGACTATTCCGTGAGTTACTTAAAAGATCAGGAAGTATTAATAGTTTTTTATTTCTCTAAACAAAAACGTTTTAGTTCACATTTAAAATATAACTCAGTATGTCTAATCACATGTATATTGTTAAGACATACTTTTGATTATCTTTCTCACATTCATTCACTATCACTCCCCAATTAATATATTTGGTCACTTTAGCAATAACTTAAGGGTCCATGCTCTACAGGATATAAATTTCTAATAATTTAGAGTTAAGTAGAGGCACGTTTATAGTTATTTTAAAATTCCAAAAATAAAACAAAACTAGATACCTCACAGTTTTTCCAAAGTTCCAAATCAGTCTTCCCACCGTTTTGTAGCTCTTGCATTAAAGAGGTTAGGACTTCAACTGTCCCTTGAGTTACAGATGGTCTGGTCTTCCCTGAGAAAGAGGATACCCCATTTGTACTAAGGTGGGGACTACTGCTGTTGAAACAGAAATAATTCAAATGGTTGTCTTCATTCTACCAAAGTGTTGAATAATTCAGCAGATTTAGCAGTACAAAACCACTGGTATTTAATCCTCCTTAATGGCACCTCATTTGTTGCAAATCTGATCACAAGTTTGACCATGAAAGAAAAATAGTAAAAAGACAGACAGCATTTAATTTTTTAAAGAACACAACAGAAAGGCCTTTTTCAAAAGTGAGAGAACACTCGGAAGTACCAGCAGAAAATGTTTCTGCTCAACAATAATAAGAAACATCTCCAGCTTCTCTGATCTAAATTATTACACAGGATTGTTTCACCCATTAAGAACAGCCCTTCATTGTAATGGAGATTCTTTCCCGCTGTCCAGAATCACAGTGGAGTCTTGTTCATTGGATCCCTCTAATTTGGCGCGATAAGCTGATGCTTATCTTTGCACGTCTTTGAATACAAGTTGTGCCAAGCAAATTAGCAGCAAATATTCAGGACGAATTTGGCCTATTCAGTGGTTTAAAATACCACTGATTCTCTCCAGGGGCTTGCCTTTCCAAACTGGAGAGGAGTTTATTTCAGATTTGTTTTCTAAAAACACAAAAAGAATAATTAAGAATAACATTCATTTAGATTCCAATCACTGCGAGGCCATTTTCATTTATTGATCCTCTGCTTTGTTTCACAAAGAATTTGTGAGAGAGAAGACACTAATGAAAATAACAGCAAAATAGAATTAGGATCAGAGAAAATGTTAATAGAAATTCAAGGGAAAGAAGGACATAATATGTTGTCCATAAGAGATTTATATTAATCCAGTTTAAACTTGGCCAATTTAACTGCAGTCACAGTGAAAAGGGAGGCAAGCTGAGTTACATAATTTTCCCTAGAAAGGCACATTTAGGTTCCTCCCAGCAAATCCAACACTAGGTTCTAAAAGGGATTTCTCATAGAAATGGGCTTCCCAGGTGATACAGGAAACAACCCTCCTGGCCAACTTTCAGCAGGTGGATCTAGATTACCATGGCAGACAGCTCTCTTCTGGACCATTTCCCACACCTGGTTTTTGGTTTTCCCCTTTCACCCTACTTTAATTTACGCTTCCTCCTTTTATTTTATATATTTTTGTAAGCTGCCTTAAACTCCTCGTGGGGAGGGCAGAGAATACAAATTTTTTTTGGTAACTTATTTACTTATAATACCCAATTTCTTCAAGATCTACTGTGTGTAAAGGTATCTGCTGCCCCTTTACCAGCAGGCTCGGACTGCTGTTCTCACTTTATTATATCTGCTTTTTATAGCTGACCTCCTCTAAAAGTCCCTAGCTCTTGCTGTTTTTAAGCTACTGTAAATTTAGAAACTAAAAAATCAAGCTTGTCATACTATGTACACAATCAGAGTAAACAGGCTCTGATAAAAAATAAACCAAATGTGGGATAGTTTAAAAAGAAAATGCGCCCTGGCCGGTTTGGCTCAGCGGTTGGAGTGTCGGCCTGTGGATCAGAGAGTCCTGGGTTCGATACCTGCTAGGGGCACGTACCAAAAAAGAAAAAGAAAATGCATTCTTTGACAGCATCTATCTTGTCAACCTGATCTGGGTTTTGTTTTTGTTTTTTAAGATGTTGTTTTGTTTTTGTTTTTGTTTTTTTATTGATTTTTAGAGAGAAAGGAGAGGGAGAGGGAGAGAGAGATAGAAGCATCAATGAGAGAGAGAAACATCAGTATCGATCAGCTGCCTCCTGCACAGCCCCTGCTGGGAATAGAGCCCGAAACCCGGGCATGTTTCTGGACCTGTATTCGAACTGGCAACCTCTTGGTGCATGGGACAATACCCAACCACTGAGCTACACTGGCTGGGTGATCTGGGTTGTTTTGAATTGTTCTGCTTTTTTCCCCCTTACTTCCTAGTATTCAACTTTAATTGCTACTTTCCGGATTAGTGAGCTATTTCTGCAACATGATTGGTCTTGTTAACTTAAAAATGTAGAAACAATATTTAGGCCACTAAATTTTAAAGATATTCTTGTAATTTACTGAAAAATAAAAAAGTATAAAGAACACTACAACTAGCAAAAACAAGTTCTTTTTCACACTGTTCCCCATGCAAAAGCACATACCTCTGGCAGAAATAAAAAACATGGTTGGGCTAAAATTTTTAGCTGTCTCTGAACCACTCCTGATCATAGTTTTGTTTGTTCTGTTTGTTAACGCAAACCAGCAACTATAATACTATTTGGATAAATTGGTAATCTATGCAAATAAACTTATTTTTATTACTTAATCCATTTTTAAAAAATCTATCTATCCCATTCTTACCTATTAGTACTTAAGTTCAGTCCAAGAGAGTAGGGAGAATTTTTTATATCAGATTCTACAGAAGATGAAGTTTTTTGTGAGAGTTGCACCAGGTCAAAATCTTCCATAGTGTACAGAAATTGTTATGCTCTCTTGTTTGAAAGCGTAGGTTCTTTCACTGTTCGAAGAAACCGAATCCGAGTCATCTTCAGATGCTCCATCATCTACAGGCATTTTCAGTTGCTAACATTCAGAACTGTGAGATATTTTAAGCTCCCAAGAGTCTGAAAATGAATGGGGGGAAAAATACTACTAAAGCCACTAAACCTAGCAACTGTCTCTTTATGACTTTGGAAACCTGGATCCTTCTATACAAATCTACATTAAAGAGAGCAACATCATTCCCAATGGCCAAAGTGTAGAAACAGTCCAAATGTCCATCAGCTGATGAATGGATACACAAATGTGGTGTATCCATATAAAGGAATCTTTTTCAGCCATAAAAAGGAATGAAATATTGAGGCATGCTACAATGTGGATGAACACACTACAATGTGAACACTGAAAACATTATGTTAAGCAGCTCAGTAAAAGACCACATACAAAATATCTAGACTCGTCAAATCTACAGAGACAGACAGTAGATTAATGTTTGCCAGGAGCTGCGGAAAGGAGAGAATGGTAGTGGTGCAAATGGGGTGTGGGGTGTCTTTTTGGAGTGATGAAAAGTTCTGGAATTAGATAGTGGTGATGCTTGCACAACTCTGAATATACTAACAACCAATGAATTGTACACTTGAAAAGAATGCATTTTATGGTATATGAGTTACATCTCAATAAAAATCTACAATAGGGGTGATTTGCAAAAGAGTATCATCTTTTCCAGGTAACATTTCAGAACTGTATGTGCTTAATAATTAAGGGTCTAGACACAATGTTACTAGGTAACAATTGGAATACTTAGATACCTTGTTCGTTTGTTTAATAAATTCTACCAAGTACCCTTGCTTGTTGATTTATACAGTGAAGAGATGAATAGGAACTGCTTAGTATTTCATTTGGTGTTGAAAACAGCTGGTTAAACTGTTAATGTGGTTGTTTCCCCCTGGCTGGAGGTGGGGGCGAAGGGATGCAGTTGGCACCACACAGCCGTTTGTACTCTGTGCGTGCCTTACTTTAAAAAGAAACTACTTGCCGGATCAGCTACAACTGAACTGACGCTAGGTAGAGGCAAACGGGCTATAACGGGTCAAACAATAAGCCTCCTTCTTAGGAAATTCATGTATTGTTTTTTTAAAAAACAAGGGAAAAAGAAAACTTTGCTGCTTACAAAATGGAAAGTTCAGGGAGGGAAATTATCTAGTATTCTGGTTCCTCTAGGTCCCCACTTCCCAGGGTCAGGTTTTACAAAGCACAACCCTCGAAAACATCATCTCGGAAAGGAGTCCTGTCCTTCAGGGACAGGTGTGAAAGCCAAGGGTAACCGGACCTAACTCAATGCATGTCTCCCCAGTGGCTTCAGCCCATCGCCCACGACAAACGGGGTATTGAAAACGCCAGGGGCTGCACCTTCCAACTGGCAACGAAAATACCTGGATTCAAATCACCTTGCTCTTCTACCAGAAGAGCACAAGCTCTCTAGGGACGGGGATCCGCGACCCGTCTATTCTTTCCCGGCTGAGAACATCCGGATGCAGTAGATCCAGATGGAAAAACCACTTTGGATGCAATGAAGCTTCTCCACCGGGGGTGGGGGAAAGGGGGGAAAAACAAACAAACAACAACAACAACAAAAACACCACGATATACAATGCAGAAATAATAACAATTAAATAACAATTTTAAGAAAACGTCATGGAGAATGGATAGAACAAGACAGTTTTTATATATTTCACAGTCACAGAATGGCCCCAGGTCCACCACCAACCCCCTCCGCGACCCCTAGGCAAAAAAAAAGAGGTGGGGGAAAGCGAGGGGCTGACCGGGGTCTGCTGCTGATATAAAAGTTCCCGCGCAGTTTTGCTCTGCGGGGAGCCCGGGGTGGAGGAGGGGTGGTTTCAGAGGCTTGGGGACCAGATCCTGACATTCTCGCGCTCCCAGCCAGACCTCAGGTGCTGGCGCGGGCTCTCGGGTCAAAGTGAGAAGGCGAGGGAGGACCCCTGCAGTCGCCTGAACGCTGGACAGCGGGGCGGCCACCGCTCCATCAACCACAACCGCGATGCCTAAAGTGAGCAGAGGAAGCTGCTCAAGAAGAGGAGAAACGCCACCAGGCCCCCGCCCCTCGGGGAGAGACGCTCTGCGATTGGGCCGCGCGGGTGTCACTCAAGGGCACCGACTCTAGAAAAGGCGCCCGGCCGCAGGCGAAGCCCCCAGACGCCAGAAGGCGGAGGGAGGGCTTTGTCGTGGGGCCGTCGTCTTCCCCCGCCTGGCCCATCAGCGTATTCAGGGCTCCCCTGAAGCCGTGTCTTCTAAGTCTCGCCCCCTGTGCCCCGAGACCAGCAACTAACTCCCCGCAGGAGGACGGCCGCTTACCTGGCTGCCGATCCAATTCAGGGTCGGGCGAGCGGCCTCTCGCGACCGTTAAACTTAAGGGAGCGTGCGCGCGCCCGGCGCCTCTCCTGCGATTGGCCGCTGAGAAGGGGGCGGAGACTACCAAGCAGCAGCGCGCGCGTCGACCTCCCCCTTCTTTTCCGTCAGGCCGCACGGGAGAGGGAGGTCCGATGCCTGGGAACTGGGAAGGGGCGGGACTGCTGCACGTCCTCTCACCTGATTGGCTCTCTGGCAGCTTTACAGATGCCACGGGGGGAAAGCGGCCTGAGCTTCCCGCATGCGCACTTGGTAAGAATGAGCCTCGAGCCGGGGAGGGAAGTCGCGGGTCGAGGACGGCGCATGCGCGCGCAGACTCGTGACCGCGCTTGCCATCCCTTTTCTGCGCTGATTCTAGTTTCCACCCGAGCTTTGGGGGCGGAGGCCAGTCCTGGGGGCCAGGTAAGTGTCCGCGGAGAAAGCAGGCATGCACACGGTTGCCCACGATTGTCAAGGGCTCCGGAGACGGGACTAGGATCCCGGACACCTCGCGTTTCCCAGTTTGCGACCCTGAGCCGCGCAACCCGTTGACCTGAGGCCCTGCAGGCGGTGAGGTGGAGCCGGTCCAGACGCCTGAGCGAAGTTTTCCTGGACCCGGCTCACCTGAGGCTGCTGGGGGTCGGCCCTGAGGCCCTTGAAGGATGGGCGCAGGGGGCAGGAGGGGGAAGGCCACCGCCGTAGAGGAAACAGCGAGACGCTGGACAAAAGGAACAACCCTCACGTGCTCGTTCTGCCGAGCCTCCTGCGCCCTTAGCACGCGGCAGGGCGTCTTCTAGGCACGTAGTAGATGTTGTCTTCCCAGATCTTCGGGAGGACTCCCCTCCCCGGGCCCCCAGCCCGCCCACGTTCTTCAAACTAGTTAACCCTAAGGCACCACCAGCGTCTAGATTTCCCTGCAGGTGTCCTGAGCCCACAGTGCAGGGATGTGTCCTGAGAAGTACAGGGATGTGCCCTGAGCCCACAGTGCAGGGATGTGTCCTGAGCCCACACTGCAGGGATGTGTCCTGAGCCCACAGTGCAGGGATGTGTCCTGAGAAGTACAGGGATGTGCCCTGAGCCCACACTGCAGGGATGTGTCCTGAGCCCACAGTGCAGGGATGTGTCCTGAGCCCACACTGCAGGGATGTGTCCTGAGCCCACAGTGCAGGGATGTGTCCTGAGAAGTACAGGGATGTGCCCTGAGCCCTCACTGCAGGGATGTGTCCTGAGCCCACAGTGCAGGGATGTGTCCTGAGAAGTACAGGGATGTGCCCTGAGCCCACACTGCAGGGATGTGTCCTGAGAAGTACAGGGATGTGTCCTGAGAAGTACAGGGATGTGTCCTGAGCCCACAGTGCAGGGATGTGTCCTGAGAAGTACAGGGATGTGCCCTGAGCCCACAGTGCAGGGATGTGTCCTGAGAAGTACAGGGATGTGTCCTGAGAAGTACAGGGATGTGTCCTGAGCCCACAGTGCAGGGATGTGTCCTGAGAAGTACAGGGATGTGCCCTGAGCCCACAGTGCAGGGATGTGTCCTGAGAAGTACAGGGATGTGTCCTGAGCCCACAGTGCAGGGATGTGTCCTGAGAAGTACAGGGATGTGTCCTGAGCCCACAGTGCAGGGATGTGTCCTGAGAAGTACAGGGATGTGCCCTGAGCCCACAGTGCAGGGATGTGTCCTGAGAAGTACAGGGATGTGTCCTGAGCCCACAGTGCAGGGATGTGTCCTGAGAAGTACAGGGATGTGTCCTGAGCCCACAGTGCAGGGATGTGCCCTGAGCCCACAGTGCAGGGATGTGTCCTGAGCCCACACTGCAGGGATGTGTCCTGAGAAGTACAGGGATGTGTCCTGAGCCCACAGTGCAGGGATGTGCAAGGACAGCTCTTGCAATGACATCTGCCAGGAGGCACCCATCGCAACCGGTCCCCCTAAGAATCCCTCACAGTGTTTCCGCAGGAGAACGCCCCTCTCGATCCAAAACCTCATCCGTGTGTGGAAGAGTTCCACCTGAAATAAACGGAACCCACCCGCCCCAAAGTGTGCGGCTCCACCAGTCCATATTATGCTCACGTGATACCAAAGTCAAACTATTTTTTTTAGGTACGTGGCTCTTTCTGCAGTGAACATATTGTGAATCCACCCCCTCGGCAGTTTTATCACTAGTTTCAGATAATCACAAAGTCTGTTATTTGAGACCATGTAGAATCTTGCGCTCACAGGGCTGTGAATTCCTGAGATAATTCCCCAGAAAGAGGTGTTTTTATACAAGAAAAGTATTAACCCCAAAAGTAGGTAGGACCAGTGTTTGATTGCTAACCATGCAAGAGGCAGGTCGATTATTGCTTTGGCTACAAAATCAGATGGGCTCTGTTCAGTTCACGTGTATGTTTTTTGTTTTTGGCACTGTGATTTTAGTTAACTTTAAGCCAATATGCTCAGGAGCTAGTATTCTGATTAACCCAGCTATCTTGTTAACCAACCGATGCAATGAAATACTTTGGTATGGTCTTAACACCATGTCTTAACTTAGGTTAAGGTCTTTGGTAGGGTCTTAATTTTTAAAAAAATTCAGAGTGGAAATTGACTAGTTAGACTACAGAGAAGCAATGCCTTTTTAAAGCTTTATAAACAGCTAAAAAGGTAGTTGTTGAAGTTCATAGAAATTATGATTATAGAAAAGACATAGAAGGGTTCAGAAATTCCAGTAAATGTTTTAAGTATAATGACTGTTCATCTAATCTCAACCTCCCCCCATACTAGAGACTGTACACTACTTTTATGGCTTTATGAGGGGGGGTATGATTACCATATGATTTTATTATAACATCCAATTACTCAAGGATCTCTCTTTTGTCTTGAAGTCTTTAAATTGACAGCTTTATAGTGGAGATCTTTCACAGTGATTGGGATAAGATCAGGCTATTCAGTAATAGTGGCTGCTAATGGCTTGAGAAATTTAGTGTCTGTTAACCAGGGTGTTACTTTGTGTGATTGATTTTTATATAGTTTGTCATCTGGGGGACCAGTCCTCCACAGCAAAAGATGAAGAACTTTAAAACTTTAAATCTATAGTTTCTTTTTTTTTTTTTTTTAAGCTGTTTTATTGATTTTTTAGAGAGAGCGAGATAGAAACATCCAAGTGAGAAACATCGATTTGCTGCCTCCTGCACGCCCCCCACTGGGAATTGAGCCTGCAGCCTGGGCATGTGCCTTGACCAGGAATTGAACCCAGACCTCTCAGTCCATGGGATGTTGCTCAATCCACTAAGCCACACTGACCAGGCCAAATCTATAGTTTAACCATTAAATACATTTAAATATGAATTTTTCATCTTTCCTGACCATCATGATATTTTTTTCACTATATTAGGTCATTCCTAACGATCTCTATGTTTAAACCAGGACTTGTTCCATGAAGGTGATTTTTATCTTTCTATTTGAACCTTCTGGGAAGTCAAGCTGTGTTCTTAGCATCATCATTTTTTCCTTGGCACCTGCTTTCAGACCACAATTATGACCTCACCAAACAGCATGTCTTTGATAATTTCAAGGTTTCCAAGTACTTCTTAAATGGGACTGTACCAAGTAAAATGGGTCACTGTTCTAGAAGCCTCTTCACTCTGAGCTCTGAAACAAAAGTCCATGAAATAATTTGTTTGCAGAGTGGGTTTGTGCGTATGGTGTGCCCGAGGTTCCTGAGCTTTGTAGTCGAGGGATCCAAAGTGCTCGCTGCTTGCCCTGGCCGGTTTGGCTCAGCGGTTGGAGCGTCGGTCTGCAGTACAGAGAGACCAGGGTTCGGTTCCCACTAAGGGCACATACCTCTGCTGCAGTTTGTCCCCGGCCCTGGTTGGTCGTGTGGGTGGCAGCCACTCGATGTGTCCCTTCACATCGATGTTTCTCTCTCTCTCTCTCTTCCTCTCTCTCCCTCCCGCTCTATCTGAACAAAAAATGGAAAAATGTCCTCGGGTGAGGATAAAAAAAAATAAAAAAAAAAAAAACAAAGTGCTCGCTGCTTCACATTTGTGGCAACATGTATGATTTTTTTCTCACCCTAGGTGGTATTACCTCCGTTTTACAGATGAGCAAAAGTGGCCAGAGTTACACAGTGAGTCGAAACATCGACACAGGTCACGCTAACTACAAAGCAATATGGCCTTTCAGGGACCAAAAAGTGAGAGGAAGAGTCAAGAAGAGAAAGATGAGGAAAATGAGCTCACACTGTAAGGAGCTGGGGAAAGGACAGATCTGGAGTTGTTAAGGAAGGTAAAGAAACAAGCTGTGGCCTGATCAGTGTGGCTCAGTGGATTGAGCGTCCTCCCATGGACTGAGAGGTCCGGGTTCGATTTCTGGGCAGGGCACATGCCCTGGTTGCGGGCTCAATCCCCAGTAGGGGGCGTGCAGGAGGTAGGTGATCAGTGTTTCTCTCTCATTGATGTTTCTCTCTCCCTTACTCTGTCTCTAAAAAATCAATAAAAACATATATATAACATATATATATGTATATATGTGTGTGTGTGTGTGTGTATAAACAAGCATAGAAAGGACTGATTTAATTTTTTAAATGGGCCAGCTAATGCTCTTCCAAAATAAGTCTTTCCGAAATAACCCACATAGTAGGCATCACCTTATTTGTATCTGAAAACATTAAAGTCCCAAACAGAAGCCATCATTATGGTAATAGAGGCTTGGAGACTTTTAGGAGAAAATGTAGAGGGTTATTATTGCTTCTTTTTTATGTGCTTCTGTCTCATTTTAATAGTGTAGGTGTAAGTTATAAAGTTCCTGCTAGATGCCATAAATAGAATACAATCACTGTGATTTGCATAAATAGGACGGGTGTAATTCTCCTGGGGTTCAGTTTTGTTTAAAAGAAAACCTGAACGGGATGTTGTCGTATGAATGGAAAGCTTTTCTCTTTATCTGCTTCATTAGTCGTCTCTTGAACTGTGCAGTAATAGGGCTATTAAACTCAGACCAGACCCAGCGTAGTCTCTCTCTCTTTCCCCAAAATCCAAGATAACAACTCTGCATTTCCTGCCTAATCTATCATGCTTGTCCTCGTCTTTGAGAACTAATTGTCTGCAAACACTTACTGTGGGTGCGAGGTGCTTTATCTTCGGTGCAAACCCCTAGCCTAGGAAGGGACGGGGTCTGTTTCAGGCCCAAGGCACAGTTCCCAGTGGCTCCATTTTGGGAGGATGTCAGGCAACTAGAACCGGAGCATGAGCACGGAGTGAAAGGTAGGAGGAGGCTGCTCTCTCTGAGCGCCGTTCTGCAGGGTGCACCAAAACTCACCTTTGAAACATTGTTATTAAGCATTTCTCTGACAACCTTCCTCCTCTCACTTAGCTTCTGGTGCCATCAGCTGGTCATTTTGACTTTTTTATTTTAATTCTCACCTGAGGATATTTTTTCCATTGAT